GACATGACTTTTTTTCTTTCTCTCTTCTAGATAAAAGAACAGGAAAACAAAACTCACTCAAACTGGGTATGTTGCACAATTTATTCACATATAACAGGCTTAAATATCCATTTATAGCACACTGTTTGATATTAATAACAAGCAGCTGAGCCAGTTGCACACTAAGTCTCCATTATGTTTCCAGGTAAATGCTCGTAATGCAGAGAGAGCTCTGAATCAAGAGAAGCTTGAATCATCAAAGCTCCGTGAAAAGTAAGTGATAGTAGAATGAGTAAAAATAGTTTCAAGTGTTTCCTGTGGCTGGAGCAGAAATAACAAACATTTATTTGTTTCAGCTCCTCAAATGTGAAGATTTGCTATTTTACCTTCATTATTTATTGAGTATTGTTAGATTTTGGACTGTTGGTTGGACAAAAGGAGCAACTTCATGGTGTCACAGACAGACTACCCCATGATACTTATTTGTATCTAACATGTTTTCTTAAACCCATTAACAGACTGGGTGTACTGACCTCCCAACTGAATGAGCGCCGTGCTCCTCTCTTCAGACCGAACTCTGGACAACCGGCAGGTCCTCGCCAAGGTGAGCAGGCCGCCAACTAGTCTGCTGTTTTCTTTCCTTCGGGACAGTTGTCATCCCACAGAGCCCTGAGAAGAGGATGCTGCATTTTGTTTTTGCTAAATGAGAATGTTTGATTTCAGTTGGCTTTACTTTCTCAGTGAGCCTGGAATGAGGAGCTGCTCTTTGCATAGATTGTGGTGTGTTGTCAGCTGTCTGTTGTTAAATGGATGGTTTAATCGTAACAGGTGATTCTTACGGGCCCTCTCCTGTGAGTGGGGGTGCACCATCCCCTCCACTAATGATAGAGGGTCCCAGGCGCCCTCCGTCTGCCCCAGTGGGGCGAAGAAATGACCCGTATGGTGAGTCCCAGTGGAATACTTCACCTTCTTTGATCTTCACCACAGTTGGACGTCTTCCCTCCACTACAACCGTGTGTCCTTCAATCTTTCTCCTCTTGCACACCTGACTTCCTTTTTCTTTTTAGCTCCATCACCTTCTTTAGTTATTCCTTTTTATTTCTTCCCAGTGTGTATTACATCCTTCATCTCCTGGTACCTCTGTCTGAACTTCCTTTTTCATCTTCTTGCTTTGTTTCTTTTAGTTGAATCATTTAGAAATGTTCTTTTTTCTGTGGAGGATTTTAATGCGTTGCTGTTGAAATTTTGTTTTTTAAAGGCCCTAAAAACATGTTTTTTCAATCAGCTTCTTGCTGTAAGCAACATGGTTCAGATGAAGCTGAATTTTGAGTTCAATTCTTAATAAATAAAACAGAATGTTTGGATGTTTTCCCCTCCAAAATGTTAGGGAATTCACTTTGAAGTTTTCAGGGGCTTTAAATTCAGAGTGCTTCATTCCTCTCAGATGATTGTCCTCATTGAGTAACCTTTTCCCATGTTGTAATAGTTTGTTTCCTCTTTGTTTACAACCATGTCTTCCCTGGAAAAGTGCTATAGGCAGAGTCATGAGGGATTTAATTCTTCATTGTGTTGTTTTGTTTTTTTCTCCCCTCAGGTCCACGACCTCCATCAGACCCACATGGCCGTTATGCTGAAAACAAACACATCTCTGGGATGGGTATGTCCTCTGTAGTCTCTGTATTTCAAAGGGCTGACCTTTGCTTTGAACCGTCTTTTAACACTGTGCTGTTTCCCCTCTTGCAGACATGATGGGCCCCCGTAGCTCCTCACCTGCCAACATGGATGCATCTGTAAGTGCTTTTCTAATGAGATCAGACTCATTTTTTAACAGTACCTTTCCCTCCCGTTCTACCTGAACAGCTAGAGCTCCTGCCTACATGTCTGTTGTGTATGTCCTTACTCTAAAACAGACACAAGCAGTAGATCCACAGATAAAAGCAGAGACACAGGCTGAGGCCTCCACAGACAGTCCAGAGCCAGTGAGTATAGAGGCTGTCCGGACCAGGTGTGAAGGTGTATGCAAGCCCCTCTTCCCTAAAGCTGGATTTGGATTTGGGAAGAATTTTAAGGCATTTTGCTTCACTGGGGCTGATTTAACTTTGTGGGCTGCGTGTGTGGTTTCACCTGTTCTCACAGCACTGAACGAAGCAGAGAGTCTTTTCATCAAGTCTGAGCTTCAGCTAAAATGTGTTTTGGAAAATAAGATTTCCAAAAGTATGTGTGTCAAGAGTATTTGTGAACGTGGTTTTATTTCTCATCCAAATAATCATGGTGTGTGGTTGCTGGTCATGTGATTGAGCTCTGGGAGTAAATTGTGTGGTTTGTGGATCTGTTCACTGCATGACTAAAAATGTAATCCATCTATACTCACTTACAGGACCAAGTCAAATTCTAATCGCTACATTCGAGAACACAGCCGACGACCCTTCTTCATTATCTCCCTTCATCTGTCTTTTTCAGGGTCCTGGATCCTTCCTAGCATCTCCAATCAGGGACTCACCAGGTCCCATGGTTCAAGGACCTCCACCTGGTCCCGGACCCCATGACCCGCTCCTCCATCCCGGACCCCACGGCCGTCTGCCACCTCCTGGAGCATACAGACCACCACGACCTGGACTCTACCACCTCCCACCAGGTCCTCATGGTCCTCCTCTTCCTCATGGCCCACCACTACCGGCCAACGGACACCCAGGTATGCCCCTGCCTGGACCAATGGGAGGAGAGTTTGGACCTCGACCCACCAATGGACATGCATTCCACCCCAGGCCAGGCCCTGGACATGTCATTGATCCTCGGGGTCCACCACCGCCACACTTCCGTCCCCCACCACCTCATCACTTTGGACCGATTCCTCCGCCACATGGTGCGTTATCATCGGTTTGTCCTGTCACTGAGTCGTGCAGAGACGTTGTGTTATGTTGGTAAATACACAAAGGTGTAGGGCTCACCAACAGGATGTGCTGGTCGTGATTAAAAGTAACAAATACTTTATTATCCTTCCAAAAAATTGTAGGGTACATTGTAGTGATAAAAGTAATAATAATACAAAGTAATCTATCAACCAAACTACAGCCGTGAGTCTGACTCTGGTACAAGATCAAATCTAGCGAGCCCTGAAGCCCTCAAGCAGCTGTATTTGCAGTATTCTCCAAGTAACAGTTCAGCATGACAATGGTAAATTTGCCTGAAAGGCGACTATTGTGGCCAGAATTAATGTTGAATATTTAAACGCTGTGTAGCAGCAGCACAACTAGAGAAGAGTTGTATGGTGAATAAAATTCAGCTACCCAGCAGTATCTATCTCAAGTTTGCTAGAATGCTTTTCCTTGACTGTTCATAAATTGATTGAAATTGCAAAGTTGTGTTTTATATTATATTTATTTAACTTTTCATTTTTAAAAAGGGTAAATTGTTTTATTTCTTCTTTCAAATGTTAAATGTAAGCTTAAGTTTTTTTGCACAGTCCTTGAGCGAGTTCTTGTTTACGGTTGTAATTCTTCCATTTCGATCACAGGCAGTTAGTTTAGTGATGTATAAAAGCTGAGTAGATGAAAGAAGGCACAAGCTTTTGTTGTGAGTGCAAGCCTGTGGCTGTTTCCTGAAAGCAGCACATAACACTGCACAGCCGTACATACATAAGAACTTCAAAACATCTTGCACTATAACGCAGTATTCTGGAAGTTGTTCGGTCTCATCATTAATATTTCCTTTTTCAATTGTTCCCTTTAGGTATTCGTGGACCTATGGGACCACGTCCACCCATCCCCCATGACATGCGCTTCCCAGGACCGCGTGACCACACCGGCCCACCAATGAACCTTCCTCCGGGTGTCTCTTCCCATCCTGCACTTGGTGATGCTTACGGTCAGGCTCCACCCGATGCCCTCCAGAACTCAGCGGGAGCTCTCACCGGCCCCGGACAGGACCTGCATGTGAAGCAGGAGGCCCCTCAGGACTCAGCGAGGCCAGCGATGGTCAAGCCTTAAAAATGCCAGCATTTTACGGCAGAGGACTTGAACTTACCCCCGAAACTATCACATTAACGACCCAGATCCAGTCCAAACATCAGTCATGATTATTTTCATATTTCACTTATAAAATAAAAACTGCAAATGTTTAGTATAAAAAAAAACATGGTCCTTAAATTAAAGCATCATCAATAATTATGTGTCTGAATGAATATGAGTTAAAGAGGGTTGCCACTTTTTTAAACAGCTTAATTGTGCAATAATAATTCATTTATGCCAGAGGATTTCATTTTTGTTCTTTTGAAAAAAAATATAGCAATGATTTTTAAGGGGCTAATTTTTAAATGTCATTTCCTGTGGAAATTATTTTAAAAAAACAGGGAGGGAGGTTTAGCTTCTAGCATTTCAGGAATACTATAATTTTCCCAAAGCTGTGGCTTTAGAACCAACGGTAAAGCAAATGTGTAATTTGATGGCCAGATGTATAACTTATTTTACTATGTTGGTAGAACTTTTAATAATAAAGATTGTAAAAGCTGTCGGTGTTATGTTGTCAACAGGCTACATCTGCTTTTCAACGTGTGTCTTAAGGCGCTTGCTTTATTTGGAAAAAATAAGGCATACATCTGTGCTGCTGAGACAAACATGAGCTTAAGTTCTGTTCATGTTCATTAAAAGTCCGTTGATGTTTTTTATTATCCTATTGTAATTTATCCAAAAACTGCATGTACCGTATTTTAACAGAGGGAACTGAAAATGTTTCTTTGTGATCTGAGTGAAGTGAGCTTTTAATACTAGATTTACGTTAGGCCTAAAGCCTAAAAAAAATTTTTGAGAAAGGAATACATCAGATTGAGGAATTTAGGGAGTATGGAAAACAACTCGGCTCTTTGTGAAGAAGACTCTTGACTACAAGTTTGCAATGCAAGTTAATGTAGGAGTGCATTATAAGAATTTAGTAACATTCAAAGGCTTCATGTTTGCATAAATCATGTATGATTTATGCAAATAAAACTTCACTATATGATGCTCTGGATGAAACGGTCCACAAAACTGCTTCATTTGTAGTTTATTAGAAATTAAAAGCATTGTAAATGATACAATTCCCCTCAGTCTGTCATCGAAACTAAAACATTCCACAGGTCTCAGTCCTACCACATCGTAGTGCTTCATACAGACACAGTTACTGTATATTCATCAGTTAGTGTATCTTACAGTTAATTTACAGTCCTGAATATTGTGACATTACAAAAATAAAATCTAAAATCAAATATTACAATGTAGATGTTTTTAGTGACGAAGAACATCTGCAAAGTCAGAATGAAAACAAAGTTACATGCAACTTCATTTAAAAAAAAAACAAAAAAAGCCCTTTAAAAACAGGGTGATGTGAAATTTCAAAATAAAAGTAGTGGGCTTTTTTGAGTAACAATACAAGAGAGAGACGATTCTTAAAAAAGTCAGTCCGAGATCGTTGTTCTTTGACTGCCAATAAAGACGAATCCTCTGGACTCTGTAAGCACCGGTCAAATACAGCTGCATACATAAAGATCTGCAAAGTAACACTAGATTAAAATAAACACTTCCTGGCAGGTGATAAACGTCTGAATAATCCAACACTGTAACAAACTGGTATTCAAACATCTGGCCCGCGACCAAACACTCACACTGAATACGCTCGTGAGCAAATACAACAACTGCATTAAAAACACCTGCAACAACACAAGTCGCGTCCCCTGTTTCCCTCCCTCCGACATCAGTTAAGGAAGACTGGAGATGAGATGGTTTAACTGCTTTAACAATCCTGCTGTAATAAGAAAGCCCTGCATCTGCAACCAATCAAAACTGACTTTTTTTTTTTTTTTTTTTAAGGGTTTTAGCAACAGAACGGACACATGTTCGACAACAAAATCAAAGAATATTAAAAAAATGCAAAACTAATTTGGCGTTCTGAGCTGAGCTGACTAATGTTTGGCTCATTTCTCTTTATGTTCTTCATATACTCGTGGATAAAAATAAAAAATAAAAAGACTACAACCTCGATTTAGTATTGCTGGATGCGATGAGGTGGAACACCACATTTTGCTGGATGTGGATGTAAGAGAGAGATTAAAAGAGGTGGTTTAAAGTTCGAGGCGTGCTCCGACTTAGCTGTCCTTGTGTAACGTCTGATGAAGATGGAGATAGAGTTGTTTCTTTGTTAGAAGCTGCAGTTTCTTTCTCTTGAAGTCTGTGGGCTTCTTGTAGCTGAAATTCAAGAGGGTACGGTTAGAGACTTAATGTTTTAAAAAAAACATAATTTAGACAAAAAAAGATGAAAGTCAGTCGACTCACAGCTCAATTACGATGGGGCCGGGTTTGATCTCGTCCATTTCCATGAAGGCGAAACATTTTGTGCTGGTGAACCTCTTTTTAGGTTTGTAGTGCTTAAATTCAAAGAAGATAGCTGCTCCTGGAAGAAAGAACAACAGGTGTAAACATGAATAGGAGGGTTAACGTCGGCTGTGAGACTGAATAATCACCCTCCAAACAAGGCAGTAAAGGGTGTAAATAGCCTTATTCTATATATGTTTTACTGTCAACAACTGAAGATAAATCTTAAAAAAAAAAAAAGTCATATAGTTTTGTAAAGTAGTAATTTCCTAAAACTTCTGAGCATTGTAGCCAATAAAGCCAGTATTTTAATTTCTTCTTTTAACTTGGATTTTGATGTTACATCCGTCTGTCTCTCACTGCTCCGATCCAAACTCCCTCTGTTTTAGCGTTACTAGCTCATACAAATTTAAATGATTGGTTAACACATCCATTTCCAGCATAACAGCATTAAGCCATGGCTGCAAAGTTGCAAGCATTCCCTACACATGTATACTGTATTGTATGTATTTACACAATTAATTGTAGGTTTGGGGCTCTTCGTGGGATTTGTTAGTTGCGTTTATAGTATGTCACTTCGTACTAACTGTACCTTTGGGTAATTTCTCCACATGTCTCTGGATCTCCACATCCACACTGAAGTGAATGTAGGTATCTTCCTTCCTGGTGGCCACGGGGGTGTCCTGCACTGGGTTCAAGTCTACACCGTTCATATCTGCAGGCAGAGAAACACAGAAAAGGTGTTTTTTGCTGCTGTAACAAACTCTGTTTTGGCGGACTGTCGGCTTTCAGGTGACGCACTTTGGCAGCATTTTCAAAGCATTTGAGTATCTTTTCTCTTTAGTGAGGCATTAGGAGGAACCGCCACAGCAGAGAGAAAAGGGCCGTGGCTGTAATCCGAGACCAGCAGCAGAGGTGAGATCGTTACCTTTGACACTAATGGTCATGTAGGGATCAATGCATTGACCGGCATCCTTCAGCCCAATTTTTTCAATCTTGATTGTAAGCAGTGACATCCCGGGCTCAGAGGGTAACCGTGGCAACAAGGTACCTGTAGAGGACAAAGGTTACAGACATTAACAGTTACCATAACGATAGGTGGTGACATCACCTCGGACCAAAGATTAGCCAGCAGCAGACATCATTTGCAGTCGCATGTTTCTTTACCACCAGGCCTCCGTGTTATTTAACCATTTAAATAAAAAATTAAAATTAAAATTAAAAAGTTATATAGAGGTTAAGTCCCACCCCAGTCCATGGTTCTGCTAGCTTTCTGTGCTCGATGTTTCAGTTCTTTCATTAGTATTTCTGAAAAGCTAAAACCTCATAATGGGGTTTTTGATCATATACTAAAAAGACCACTTACAACACAACTTATGACATAAAATCACCTTAAAGTTATGTCAAACCTGTTAGCAAACACTTCCCTATTTACACATCCTGCAGACATGAAACATCATTCATTGGGAGTCATGTTTCTGCCCACCAGATATTCAATATTCACTCTTTTTTTTTTTAGCTCTGTTTTTGGTCTCCACCAGCTCCAGAGGGAAATATCTGGCTCTTAAGCTGCTAAATGTTCCACTACGTTCACCAGCTAGTCGCTAACTTCATTGTTCTGCTGCTTGGCACTGGGCTGGTTGCATACAGTAGCTTTATAGAGCTTTTGCAACTGGAAAAGTTGTAGGCTGTGAAACCAGGCGAGCTGAAAGACGCAGAGTCAGGTGATAATTCTCTCTCTGGGTTTGTCGCTATAAGTGACACCTTTCACGTTTCTACTGTGTAAAAAAGCTGTAAAATATGAGTCTTTGGGGCACTGCCGTCAGTGGAGTTTCTGTTGAATGTTAACAGAATAATAGTGAGTTTGAAGGTTCATTATTGACCTTGGACATCGCATCTTATCAAGATAGTATTTCTGCCATAATAGTAGATATACAATTATTATATAGGCTTTCAGGAATATCAGTAAAATATATTTAATTTGGATAGAGTGTATTGTTTGAGGGAAGGGAAGTCTGAAGGTATCTGCAGTCAAAAAGAAGCATACAATTCTAAAATTAACTCTGAATGATACACTTTTCTCATTTTTGTCAATTCAGCAACAAGCTGTGTATTTCCACTGAGAAGAGAAAAAAAACCTGTCATGCAGTAGAGAACAAATTCAGACGATGCGTACCTTGCGAAGCTGCAAATGAAGCAGGCAGGAATGAGCGATGAAGCCATGCACAGCACCGACAGAGAGAACAAAAAAGACACACAGTCAAGCAGACAATGTGACAACATGACACCACAAATCAAACACCCCAAACAGTGGGTGCGTTTGATTAACTGTTATCAACGGGTGCACAGTACCAGGGGCTCGTGGGGGGAAAGCTTCCGTAGAACCTGCTCCTGCTGCAGCATCCTCCTCCTCTTCCAGCTCCAGGTTCTCCTCCTCACCTGGAGCGAGGATTTTCCTGACAGAGAGAAATGGCAAGTTTGAGTACTTTATTATGCATTATGCAAGCAATATGCAAATCAAAGGGCTGTAATGTTCTGATAAAAAGGTAAAATGTGCATTATAATGAAGCACTGGAGTGCTGCAGAGGCACCCTGGTCTACAAATGTCATTCTCCAGATTTAAGAAAACATGTTTGTTTGGTATAAACCCCTAAAATTTCACATCATCCTGATTTTAATAGTTTTTTTTTTTAGCAAAAATTCAATTTGTGATGCAAAAACGATCATTCCCACATAATTGTGACTCACAATATCTGTCAAAATAATCACAATATGATGTTTTCACCATATCGTGCAGCCCTAAGTGTGTGAACATTTAAATATGCACCAGGAGCTGTTCACATGATCCACATAGATCTATTAGAAATCTGTCCAGATGCCCAAAAAAGTGCACTATAAACTTTCTCAGTAGAAAATAAAAGCACAATTTACACACGATCCCAAGTTAATGAACAAACCTCAGAGCTCCAGCAGGATATACTGTAAAATACAAACAGTAATAACGTGAGATATTTACCTTAAGGGCACTGGCTGGACATCAAAGGGAAATTCTTTGTTGTAGGTCAGTATATTTTGAATTACTGTTGACAAAAGGAAGAAGTAGTGAGTGGTGGACCCAGTCGTGACAGGAGACTTAACAGCTTAATTAAATCAATTCCCAGTCAGTACACTCACTGGTTTCCAGTTTCTTCAGTTCCTCCAACTTGAACTCCTCCTTTGACTGTGTGCACTACAGAAGAGACACACAAATGACACATTTAATACTGTACACCTTTAGAAAAGTTAATTTACATGGAAATGTGCCTTTCATTGACCGATAAAGAAACAGACTGCAGACTACAGTGAGTAGACTGTACCGGGGTCACAGGTACCACTGAGGTCTTCTGTATTGTATCTGGGAATTTGGTGACTTTAATGACGTGAAGACGAGCACATGTTCTCCAGTTTTTAAGGCAGATTCTGCTTTGGACTCTATATATTAGGAATTTGTCTGTTTGTATAAAATACGAATTATTAAATTATGGATTTCAATTAAATAAAGAAAGATCTTTCTCGTACAGAATTATATTCCTGTGAATCAGCATTTAAACTATCATATATATATATAAATATGGAAACACTTCACATAAGATTGTCACCTATCTCGCCTTTATCGTGTGGTTGATGAAGGCTAAATACCCCAAAACTTGAATTAAGTATATTGTACTGCAGAGGAGTTACGCAACGTTTTTAATACTCAATATTTTACACCCTTTTTTGGTGGCTAATGACCTCACTATTTCACTTACTGATCCTCATAATTATTTTAATTTGATTGTAATTTTCAGCTCTCTGTAAAGTGCTTTGGTCAAACACTTGTTGTTTTTAAAATGTGCTCTATAATTGACATGACAGGATTTCTAAAATCCCAGATATAACTCATCAGAGGTGGCAAACGTACACATTCTTTACTCAAAGAAAGGAAGAAGAAAAGACTCAAAAGTAAAAAGTACTCAGGATATTTCTAACTTATGTTTATATGCAAAGCTAAAACAAGTAGTCGACGTCTGTCATGCATGATATGCACCAGTCTTGATGTTGGGAAGGAGTGTGATGATGGAAGAGTGGAAGAGTAATGAGCCTAATTTTAAAAATATAAGGAGTAGAAATACAGATGTACAAATGTAGGGAGTAAAACATACTTTGGTCCTGTCATATTTCATACAGACACAAACCTGCAAACTGCCACTTCTCATCTCCAGACATGTTGCAATCTTTCCTAAAGTTTTCTTTAAAAAAAAAAAAAAGGGAGAAAAGAGTTTAGTTTATGCAAAATACTCAATTTCTCTGTGCAGAGGTTGAAGAGACGTGTAAATAAATACCTTCTGCTCCTCTGTGAAGTCTGATGAATTTGTAGACTGGACCTCCTTCTGCAGTTGTCTCGCCAGACTACAAAACAACAACACAGAAGTGCGTTAAAGCTCTGCAGTAAAACTTGTAATGCAAGGTGGCTGAATTGTGTACATATGCGCCCCCTTGCGGCCAATAAAAGAGGCTGTCGAGGATCTAGATTTTGCATTATTAGTGCAATTACAGATAAAAACATTAATAATCTGACAAAGCAGATCGCATTCTTTAAACATCTGTAAAAGACACTGATGCTGTCTAAGAGGCAGGAAACGCTCCTCACTGCAGACAGATGAAAACCCACCCTTAACAATGAGAGGGTGTGGCTGACTATTTCTCAATACTCTCAGGAATATTGGCCCATTTTCTGCACTGCATGACACATAATGAAACACACTGCAACGCGAGACTGTTTCATTTTTCTCATGCAAAAAAAAAAAAAAACAGGGGGGACTCCTTCCTCCCCCTCAACTCAAAACTGGTGGTGGGGGAATCTAAAGGCGGGGGGGATGCAAACCAATGCACACATCGACCTCCGCTCCCTCTGCAACAACTGCCACATCACGTCATGGATGGGTAGGGTTTGTTTACTGCTGTGGGAGCTGACTGACAGCTCAGAGGCTAAACTTCTTCTTGTGAAGCACCATGCATGCACACACTCTCTCTCTCTCTCTCTCTCTCTCTCTCTCTCTCTCTATCCTTGCATGCTCCCTGCAGATCTAAGGACAAACGAATTGAAAGGAAGAGGAGAAGAAGCATGCGCTCAGGATAAACCCAGCTGTGTGTGTGTGTGTGTGTGTGTGTGTGTGTGTGTGTGTGGAGAGAGAGAGGACACACATGTTGAATGCAACTTACATTTGGTACTCGTCTATAGCCTCCACTAATTGTCCCCACGAGTCAAAGTCTGTGCCTTTCCTAAAACTGGCGTGCCATTTCTGAATAGTCTTGTTGACATCAGACATGTTGGCGGGGCGGATACTCGCGGCGCTCTCAGGGCAGCATAGCCGAGGAGGAGGTTCATCTACGGGGGCTTCAGCGGCGGCGGTAGCGGCGGCGTCGTCAGCCCGGTTATCTGCCGTCCAGAGGCGCACAGATAGACCAGTGACACCCCGACCAAGCCCTTTCTGCCTGCTGCTCACCCTAATATCGCATCCGCAACAGAGAGGAAGTCCCGCCTGGAGCGCGGGGTGCGCGCGTTTTGGGACGCGGGGTCGCACGAGTGAACGGCAACAGGCTGCCTGGTGTTTGTGTTAGTGTTGTTTTATTTGTGTATTATTTTAGATTTTATCTTATAAAAGTATAAAATGATGCTACTGCAAGTGGTGTTTAAATTTACAGGTGAATTTAGGCATTTTATAAATATATAATGTAATAAATGTGAGGTATAAATTAGGTACAGTTTACATGCTGCATGTAAGAGGAGTTATGGTGGAAGAAGTATTAACATCATTTATTTTATAGTAATAGTTTATTGAAGTATCAGTGTCAAAATACTGCATTCACAGTTTTACTGATAATACTAAACTATTATTTTTACTTATTTTCTTTTTCATCACGATATGTTTTTATTTTTGAAATAAATAATAAATGCTTTAAAATGTATTTATTTATTGCTAAATTAATTTAAACTGCACAATAACAAAACATCTCTTCATAATTGGGCTCTATTAAATATTGTTTTTGACCATTTTGATTTTTGACACGTAAGTTTAAACCATAAATAAAGTATATGTGAATTATTTTACACCTTGTCAACTTGTCAAGTTATTGATTATTAGGTGATCAGGTCACTCAATAGATCAGCTGCAGGTTGCTATGTTTTGAATATTTGTTGTCATGGCTCTTTGTTTTCGTTTGAACAGTAGATAACGGTGAGTTTATGACAAGAAAATGTAATTAAATTTAAATAATTTACCGCAGCTTGTATTTGCTACAACAAGTTTAATTTATTTAAACAGCTCATTTTTTTGGTTTAACAAGCGAAGACCCAAACATCTTCATAATAATTAAAAAAAGCGCTTTTATTTTGAAAAAAAAACAAATCCCAACGTGTTCCGGTCCGGTGTCACTCTCCACATTGACGCTGCTGCTAACAGGCTGCTCACGTTAGCTATGGACGGAGGAACAACACAACAAGTGATGTGTTTCAGGTCCTATTAGCCGCTGACAGAATGAGATAGAGATGGAGGCTGTCACGACGGACTCGTCTGCGGCCGAGGAGGATGAATGTTCGGACTCTGAGGTTTTATGTTTGATGAGAGTCGGCAGAAATTCAGACTGGCTTCGTTTGTTCGACAACACTGAGGTGCAGTTTGCTAATGCTAGCTAAGTTAGCTAAAGAAAAACAAAAAAACAAACAAGTAAAACTTAAGCTCAAGTTCGCTGTAGTTTTTTTGGGGGGGGGATAAATTATATAATGTATCATTTTTTTAAATATATATATATAAAATATATTCTTCATTCGTGGCTCAGCTTTCTGTTTTTTGTAGCTTGTTGTTATTAAAGAGTATCCATGTGTTTTAATGTGCTCAGTACATAGCGAGCTAACTGTTTTGGGGTTGTTTGTTTTGTTTTGTTGTTGTTGACTCTCCAGATCACCATTGGACGAGGTGTGGATGTTACCTACCAGCTGTTGTCTCCAACTTGTCCTCTCATGATCTCCAGACTGCACTGTACTTTCAAGCAAAGGGAGGACGGACACTGGACTGTGACAGACAAGAAGGTAGCCAGGTTTCTGATTATTGATTAATAATGAGTGTTTTATTCTCTTTTATGAGGCATAGTTCATTCATTTTGCTATGTAAACAAATGCAGGTGATATCTAATAAGCACATCATCAAATATGTAAACAAAATACAACCAAAAAAATAATATAGGGAAGAGAAAAATGATAAGAAATGACTTTTAATTTCTATATTTGTAAGAAGCCATGTGGAAATCCTGCTGTTTCAAAACATACCAGTTGATATAATACAGATGTGGTATGTTAAGCATATTAAATGAGTGCAGTCTGCGCAGGGAAAGCTACATATAACAATCTGTGTCAAAACAGGATCTGCTTATCTGCTACACAGCGTCGTTAAAATAAAAGCACACCCGTTTGTGTAACAATGTAACGCCATCAGTCTGCAGTGCACCTTTATCAGTTGTCACCAAGTCCCACACTGAAACTCTACAGACGTGCATCAAACCGATAACCTATGCATTGATCATACTAGCCTGATAAATGTCTACAATATTCATTAAACAGTCATACACATTTAATAACATTGTGATCTGTCTTATCGTTAACCAGGACATTCTTCCTCCTCAGTTTCTGAACAAAACTATCCACCACCTTATTAAAATCCAGAGAGCTGAGCAGAGTGCTAGACACTGATGGGTTGTTATGTGCTCTGAGCTGAAAGGGAGGCGATTGAACAAAATTATAATTTGACCTTCCACCAATAAGTCTGAACTAAACTAAAGGGCATTCCCAAAGAATAAGTAAGTGCGCCTTCAGATGTCCAACAATCGGCATTATCTCTCAGCTTAAAACAGTTAGGATGGTTTTAGGAGCTTAAACTGAATTAATCAGATTTTTAAATCTAGATGCTCCCTGGTCACTTTATTAGGCACACCTAATTACAGTGTTTGCAATCCAATACAACAGATCTGCCACAAATTCTACATTTCTCAACATGATAATCAGTTTTTGTTAAAACTTTTAGAGAGCTGTTAATTCAACTGTATGTTTACTACTAAGGACACATTAATGTTCTACTGGACTGCAAAAACTTTGAAATGTGATTCTAATATTCTTCCCCTCTCAAGTTTGTAAATGCATTTCTAAAATACTAGAAATATGAAGCTCAACACTACCACAAACTACAACCTAAATGATAAAATTAGATACACATAGATAACACTTCTATTGTCAACCAAAATTGACCATTATTATCTTTATAAATCTATTTTCTTTGTATATGAATATTATATTCAGCTGCAGCTGAAAAAGACAATGTTCCTGAATTTCATTTCTTTTATTCCAGAGTCTCAACGGTGTGTGGGTGAATGGGAACCGGATACCCGTTGAAGAAGCCCATCAGCTGAGGCTTGGAGACTCCATACAACTTGGGGTTCCTGTAATTGGAAACAAAGTGGAGTTTGACTACATCCTCGTCCAGCGGCCCCTCAGAGACATTAGACTCAACCTAGCAAAGGGACACAGAGAGGGAGCCAAAGCAGCCCATGTTCCCAAGAAGCCCAAGAGGAAGTTGAATGCGGAAGAAGTTGAGCCGTCTACCTCAAAGCCCAAACTCTACCGCTGCTCTTCTGCAGACAAGTCATTTGCACAGCCCTGCCCTCTGTCACCAGTGAAACACCAGCAGAGGCTCAGCCAGCCAGAAACTGGACCCAGCCGACAGGTCCAGGAAGTAGACTGGCCCTCAGATGGCTGCAGCACACCGTGTGATCTGGACAACTTGCAGATGTAAGACTCAGTGTGTGTCTGTTATGCATTACCATTACATTCGAGTCACAGAGTTAAGCATCAGTTTTTCTAGATACATCCATCGCAATCTTTTAAAAACTCCAGAAGATCGTTTGACAACCCCTATCATAGTTCTCAAGGTTTTTTCAGATCCATCTGGATCACAAAGAAGGACTGCAAATTAAAATTATTTTCATTATTGAATAATCTCTAGAATTTTTTTATTAAAAAAAAGTTAAAAATAGCCATCACATGTTCTTCAAAACTGCTTGTATTGTTTAATCAACAATCCAAAACCCAGAGATATTCAAATTACGGTGACATAAAATAGTAAATCTTATTTTAAGATAAATAACTTTTTAGATAGATCATTTTTTAACACATTAATTTCTGGATCACAAATTAATTTTCTGTGTCAGAAAGGATTGTTACACAACATAAAATATTTTTGAACTTTTTTTTTAAATTTTTGTTTAGATGTCCCAAAATTAATTTAATCTTTGTCTGAAATATAGTGTTGATAAATGAGAGCTACAAACTGTGGCTATGACATAATTCCTTTGTGTTGTAACCAGCAAGTTAAAAGATCTTCACGTTTGTTATGAATTAGTGCTGTCAGTTAAACGCGTTATTAACGGCGTTAACGCAAACCCATTTTAACAGCGTCAATTTTTTATCGTAAGATTAATGTTCTTTTTGGCCTAGCACACTTTGGAGGTTTTTTCACATGCTGTTGCAACAACTACTAACGTTAGAAAAACTACAACACCACACCGGATCTAGCTAGACCAGAAACAAAACAACAGGCACGCCGCACACACTTGTTTAAGAGCAGTAGACGTTACGTTTTGAGTGGATGGCGAGCGTGAGACGCTGAAATGGATGCCAATAATATTCTGAATGGAAAGTTTACTTTTAAATAGTTGCCAAATGGTTCCATTGACAAGACCAAAGGGATCTGTGTGTTTTGTCGTTGTGAACTGAGCTATCATCGCAGCACGTCCAGTCTGAAATACCACTTGATGGCCAAGCACACAGCTGATGCGAATTCTCCGCCCCCTCGTCAAAGCCAGGCGACAAAAGATGATTTTTCAATAAAAACAACATTTGCACAAAGCAAGCTGATCCACTTTTCCATGTTGATAATTAAAATGAGATAAAATAATGGGACAAAAAGAAATCAAGGGACATTTAGAATAGATAAAAATGTGCGATTAATTGTTAACTATGACATTAAGTATTTTAATCGTTTGACAGCACTACTATGAATACAAAGTGTGATGACCCTTTTATTTATGTTTGCAGGTACAGCCAGAACATTCTGATGCTGAGGGAGCAGGTGGATGACACAGAGAGACAGGTAGCCTCGCTGGGGGGAGAGCCCCAGAGGACTGACCCGCTCAAAGAGGAGCAGGTCAAGGAGCTGCAGGGTCAGCTGGAGACGCTCCGAGCAAAGATGCACCGGATGGAGACGTTAGAGAGGTCATTCAGTGAAACTAAGAGGCAGTTGGAGGTGAGCGAGAGGTTTCCCTGTAGCTTCTTTCATACATGAAATACACATCACCAAAAAACGCTTCCAGTGTGCTGAATTGAAAATGGTTCCTCTCTGTTATTGAATCTGTAGAGCAGTTCAAAGCGTTTGCGAGGTATGCATCATGTTTGTCATAATATATATATACGGTTTTAAATCTGATCAATTTAAAGTTCAAATGTAAATTTAAATGTTTTGAGCAGCACGCTTGAAATTCTGTTTCGCACAAAAAAAACGTTTCAGTTTTCAGAGACTTCGATATCTTGAAAACTTGGCACATAAAACTGAAACTTATCTGCAAGGCTGACAGCTTGTGTCAGAACGTGAGAAAATGTTAAAACTCTCACAGTTTTAACTGCAGAGAACTTTATCTTTTATTTTGATGTCAAACTTGTATGTTGCTTTTGCTAAGTTGTTTGTTTTTCACTTATTTATGTGATGATAATAATGTAAAATAAGTTTCTTCTTGCTCATACTGCACCAAAGGTCTAAGGTTTCTGTTCCGTTTGTGGTGTGAGCCAACAGATTGTCCAGAAATGAAAAACAAATGTTACAGTGCAGTATTTTATGATGCATGTATTATCTGTAATAACACAGTTTTTGTATGAATGACTGCTTGGTACAAAATAAGTCACTTTAATGAAAGTGTGACTCTTTATTTACTTAGGCACAGAAAACACAGCAACAAGAGGAGCTTCTAAAGAAACAGTTGGAAGAAGCCTTGCAAGAGGTATGTAGCATAAAACTGGAGCTTTTATTTATTGTTACACCACCAGCAAAAGCAACCAGACACAGAATTTTCAGCATAAAATTGACTCATATTTTTTATTTTTTTTATTTTCAATGTCATTAGCAAAAGAAAGTGATAGGCGAACTTGCCCTTTCTCGGCAAGGTTTTGAAGAGATTCTCTTGGCCAAAAACAAAGAGCTGGAAGTGACAAAGGTACGATTATATTTGTGGTTATTTACACATGATGTTTGCATTGTTTGTCATGGCATCAGCAAAGCTTAATCTTTTAATTTACTTTTGCAGAAAGAGAAAGAAAAGGCGAGAGCCCAAAAAGAGGAAGTAGTCACACAGGTGACCGAAGTTCTGGAGAACGAGCTTCAGTGCATCATCTGCTCTGAGCTCTTCATTGAGGTAAGATTAATGGTCACTTCAGCATGTTTGTTGAAAATAATCTCTCAACCTATATAAAGACTGAACACAGCAGTTATGGCACAGACATAAACGTTTTCATCTGTGTTGGTAATGTCTACAGGCAGTCATCCTGAATTGCGCTCACAGCTTCTGCTGTCATTGCATCAAGCAGTGGCGCAAAAAGAAAGACGAGTGTCCCATCTGCCGACAGGCCATCCAGTCCCAGACCCGCTGTCTGGCCTTGGACAACTGCATCAACAGCATGGTGGAAAACCTGAGTCTGGACATGAAGGCGAGGCGGCAGACACTCATCACTGAGAGGAAAGGTGAGAGGTGCGTTACACACACCGTCATTACAGTTAATACAGTTAGGTTGTTGTTGTTTTAAAAGAAAATTGTGAACAGGACACATAAATAAAAGGCAGTAAATTACAGATAGGAGTCAGTCTGCTCATTCAGCAGAGAGAAGTTCAATGATATATCATCCTCTTTTAGGGTGGTGGGGTGGTGTATTTTAAATCACAGATCATGGGTCTCGTCCTCACACTAAAGACTGTAAATAATCTTGCATGAAATTCTGTCAGGTCGTATGTATCGGGTTGGGCATTAGTTGATGGATATTTCTTGTTGCTTCTTTATGTGATTATGTTATCAGAATACTCTACCTTGATCTACATTTCTGGTGTCGTGTCAAAGAATATCAAGTGAAATTTGTCCAAAATCTGCCCCTGCTGAAGGTCTTTAATACTCAACAAATGCTTTTACTACAACTAAAACACTGGCGATTTGACTCAATTAGACAACCTTAGAATATTTAAATAAGTATGTTGACATACTAATATCAAGATAGTGATTTGCTAATTAGTAATTATGTATCACCCTATATAATAATTTTCCCTCAAATTTCAGTTACAGAGCATACATCCAACTACGGTATGTGACAGTAATGTAGCAGGATCACACACACATTACCACGTGGATGACCCATATAGTATTAATCTAACTGACAGTGTACTTACTAGCAATGGTGTCAAGATCAAAGGACTGGAGAGCCTTGACGTGTCTGGGTGAGCTCAGTGACTTAACGTTCCTCTCGCCCTCAGCCGTAACCGCTGAGTAAAGACCTCAACCTTCAGCTGGTGTGGTGAAGCTGCTCAGAGGCTGTCGAGCAGTGAAAGAAATGTGGTTTTTAAGGTTTTTAAAGAGTATTAACACTCTCTGCTGCTTCATCCTTTCCCTAGTTAATAGATGTGGAGTGAGGGAAGAAGGGGAAGCGGTGGGTCGTCCAGAGTGAGGAGCGCAGTGACAATTTCAAACACAAGGTGGCAGCATAGTGAGGCCGATACCTGTCTTTTCTTTCTGGTGTATGGTGTTATTTTAGAAATGGTGAAATGACTGCTTAAATAAATTTTAATTCTACATAAAAAGCTAAAAAAAAAAGCAGTATGTAGCATTGATACTGTGATGGTGCTGAAATTGAACTTGCATTCCCGAATATATTCAAGGTTATTGATCAGATACAAAACGTATACAAAAAGTAATAAGGTCAGTAAATTTCACTTCTGCAGCACCACAGTTACAACATGCTTCACAAATATAAATAAATACAATTTGAAACATAAAGAATTAAAAACAAAAGAAAATACAAAAACAATGTGGCACTGATTCAGCTAATAGGATTTTTTCTTCTACATTTTCTTGAGTTAAAACAGTAAAAACTAAACATCCTGAGTCTTTGTCTGTGGAACTTCTAACAGGATTTGTTTGCCAGACTTGACAAATAGTTGTGTAGGAAGAAAAAACACATTTGTTTTTGCACTATGATTACAAATCAATAACAGCAAGTAATGTGGTCTGATTGATCTCAGTCATGGTGCACCAGCTGGTCGTTCCTGACTCTCAGAAACACAGCGGGAAATTTTTGATTTTATGTTTGTTTTAGTGTAAAAATCACTTAGAGGACTCAACTAGAGGACAGCACACGTATAGCCACCGCAAAAAGGCCCGGAAGGATCCGCCTGTCTAGATTTTTGTTACTGTCGATGAATCCCATTAAAAGATCAAACCAGCTTTGAACTGATTCTGCTGTGCAGCCAAAGTCTGTGATAGCTTAGCCCACTGCGCCATAGAGCCCAGTTGTTGTCCAAAAAGCTATTAAAAACACTTCAATGAGCCACATTGTTGCACTAGGTGACATTACAGTGAAAATGTGTGTTGTATTTTAATTTGAGTCCCACCTACTCAGCAGTGAGCACCATATGTGTATTCATCTGCAGCTGGAAATAGTCCCCAATAAATACACTATTTACTGCTTTACAGTACATTGTCCAGCTGTTCTAGAGCAAATGAAACCACATGTTTCACGTATTCAGCGGGATCAAATAGTTTCTAGGCTAAGAGCCACAGACAGGGTAGGGAAGTCAGAAGGATATAGAAAAGATATATTTCAGCCTTTTTCTTTAAAGTCATATATGATTTGAAAGTGTTTCAGAGGGAAGATTCTGCTCTCTCAAATGTGTAAAAAGAAACTGTTTTCTCTTCGTGTGTTTTCCAGCAGCTGACTCTGCTCAGGTGATGGTGATCCATGATGACGACAGCAGCAGGAGCAGTGACAGTGACGGCAGTATGGTGTCCATAGACAGTAGCCTGAGCTCAGTGGTCTCTGTGGACACAGACAGTAGCATCCACTTGGACTCCAGTCCGCCATACAGTGGTTACTCTGATGAAAGCGTTGATGAGTTTGAGGATTAGCCCCCTTTCTCCTGTGGGCTGTATAATGTGAAATGGACTTCTTGGTGTTGATAAGGTAGTATGCAAGGTTTGGTCTCAAGAGTTCAGCAAAGTTTTGTTTTTCTTTTTGTAAAATTATCTGTTGTGTTATTGTCTTTCTTTTCAAAAAAAGGAATAAAGTTTCTTCCTATGCATTTTCACATTTACTCCTTCTTGTATGTTATGATTCATATGTTGTCTTTGTCCAAGCATTGATTCAGTGTTTATAGACGTCTCATCTGCTACAAATAGTAAAAGTGTTCTTTGGTGATTCCTGATTTCATAAGTTGTGACTGCTGGAAGCATGACCTTTTTAATCAGAGAGACAGAGAAGGGCAGGCAGAAACACTCTGGTCCAGACTGAAATATCTCAGGAAGCATCAGAAGGATTAAGATGAGATAAGATAAGATAGTGCTCAGAGGAGGAATCTGAATAATTCTGATGATCCTCTGACTTTTGGTGTTGTGCCACCAGCAGGTTAAAGTTTTTATTTATTCTGTGAACTCTGGGCCTTCAACAGGGGGTTCATGACCCCTAGGGGGTCCTCAGAGTTACTGCAGGAGAGCTGCCAAATTATAGTTTGATAACTTGAAAGTTTGTATTTTTTAAAATTTAAATATGTCTGAAAATACACAGAAAAAAATTTAAAACATAATTATATGATTCTGTCAATAATTATTATTTGAATAGCTTATTGTATGCACAATAACAAAGTACATTCACACGTGGCACTATACGGCTGCCCAACACAATTTTATACCACTGGTCTATTAGCTAAAGGGTCTTTGACCTGATAAACGTTTAAGATCCCTGCTGTGATGTACATCTTTTAATTTGCTGTATGACCAAATATCTGCACAACTAATGACATTCTCATCAGCTTCAGCTGTACTTTGATTCGTGTGAATGAACATTTGCTTTTATCATGCTAATAAGTTGTTAGCATTTAGCTTAAAGCAGCACTGTGTCTAAACATTACTTTCCATGGCTTTAAGTCAGTGATTGGTGCAATTTAATTTTCAATATAAATTAAATTGTAGACTTAAAATCGGTCTTTACTTGTTACCATATAGCATTATTGTGGCTTTGACAACAACTAAAGCATACATGATGAAGTCCTACAAAGTATCTAAAAACTACTGATAGATCCCAATAAATGTGATTTAATAGAGTAAAGTTTTGATCTAACAGAGGTTTTCATACATGGTCAACCTTTGTTTTAAATCTCTTCATATCTAAAAAAACAAGCAAAGACATCACCGAGTATTTTGCAAAAACAGGTACGTTCTCACTTTAAGAATACATGAGTTAAGGTGGACTTCCCTTAAATCTCTTAATCTAGGAACAACCTGTCATGTCTCATGTTAGAAACACATAAAATAAGACCAGCTTTGTAAGAAAAATAAACCGTAATATGACAATACTGTAATTCCTCAAACAAAACTGATTCACCAAAAAGGATCACATTGTTGTTGTTTTATGTTTCATTCAGCAATGCCCTACTTTCTATTCATCCACATGCCCACCTGGGAGTTGCCTGCCTGGCACACAAGCTGTGTAGTGCTTTGCTGAAAAAAAAAAAAAGGAGGAGCATTAATCACTCCCACTGGCAACACACAGAGTTTACCTCATATCACGCTGGTAGTGACTTACATAAACAAACAACTGCAAACAAAATGCTTTTACCTCGTAAGATACTGGGAGAAATGTTCAGAAATGTTAACTTTAATAAGCTGAGTTCTTTAGCTTTTATTTTCTCTATAAGGCTGTTTAATTAGGCCAATAATAGCCAAAGTGTGCCAGTATCACTTTGAAAAAGGTTTGTGATTCATGCCACAGCTCTGATGCTGTGTGATTATATCTGTAAACAGTCTCCTGGAAACATACTGGCAATGACTTCAACAATATCACACTTACATCTGCATGTCAACAATCACCACCGGAGTGGGTGTCACATTCAAAAATAGATCTCCATCTCTGAAAGAAACTCTTCTTCATTTTTTGCTAAATCCTTCCATCTTTTGGTAATCACACACATGCTGCGTTGCCTAGCAACTAATGCAACAGCTCCTTGGGCTCTGAAAAGCAAATGGAAGTGTGATGGCAGCAGCCTCAACAGTGAGGCAGAAGGTGAAGCACGCCGTCTTCACGCTGCGGATAGACGATGATGGAGTGTTAGGGGCATTGATTGTGACATAAATAATTACTGCTTGTATTCAGTACTCTAATGTCCAAATGAAAGAGCCTGAGAGAGCCAGCATCCTGCTGCTGTTGGGATATTTGTTGGCATGCTATCAAGGAGCACTCTGAACTCCTGGTGACATACATTAAACATTCAAAGCTTGTTATTTCTTAACAATGTGCTAGAGTGGCTATGTAATGTGGCCACTATGGGGAAAACAGAGTTATAGTTTGTTGTGTTTTCTAAGCAGTTGTTGATATCCAAAGGAATAGGCCTCTCTGACAGAAGACAGTAAATGATTAAATGAATGATGGCTGAGTTCCATTTAGCTGCTTCGGTGTCGGGGTCCTGGTAACGCTGTCAGGACTTACTGGGAATAGAACTGTTAATGTTGATAAGAAGACTTTTCCTGCTATGACAAGTCAAACAGTCTATTTATGTGGAAAAAGCTACTCCACTTAGTCTCAACTGGATTAAACTGAACATGGGATGACTGGTTTCCAGCATTGTTTACTTCTCAATAATACACACTGAAGTTAGAGACATAAATCTGTCTAAGGGAGTAGGGTTCCTAATAAACCTTCCTGGATAAATTCAGTTCAATTACATTTTATTTGTAAATCATAAAGGAAGTCACACTTCTCATAGAGCAGGTCTAGACTCCTTTTAAAATCATTTACAGAGACCCAACAATTCCCACCATGAGCAAGGACTTCTTGTGAAATGTCTTGTGAATGTTTTTATGTGAGACAAAATATCAACATTATATAAAACAGGACAAGGTGTAATGTGCTACATGTTAGTAAACTGTTATTTTCTGCCCACAGTCCCTGGGCAGGTAAGTACAATAATAAAATAATAAAATAGTGTCTGCTTAGAAAACTCTTTATACATAATATTTGGAAACGTCACTCTTTATTTATGTTGGATTATACGCTATCTTGTTGTTGTTTCTTTGTTCAACTGACCTGCACTGACTAAAAGACATATAATCCATTTAGTCAGAGCTGTAGCTATTGAATACACAGAGCTCATGTACACAGAATTTCTTCTGGGAATTTGGGGATTTTAGGGGGAGTTTATATTCTACTATTACAAAACTGGAGGGGTTTTTTAATGCCTTTTTCCCCACTATTTATACAATATATATATTAAAATGTAGGCCAACAAAACAAATAAAGTAAGCATTCACCCACAGAAAGTGTATTCCTGGCATTATAAGTGAGGCTTTAAACTTGTATTTGGGGCTTCGTTGTCAACATTTCTGGGGACTTGTATTTATATATTTATATAATGCTGGCCCTGTGTTTATAATTAGCTGAAAATGTCCTTTCTTTTCCAGGTACTTTCATCTTAGTTTACTGTCACATGCAGGTATCAATCATAAATAATATTTGACAGCTGAGTCATGCTGCCTCATGCCAAGACAAGGAATTACCCAGCTGATCGGTGAACCTGCATACAGTTCTTGTTTGGTGCAGATTCAGGGACACCCAACACGGTGATTCATCCCACACTGACTACCCAGAGTGCACTGTAGCTCACAGAGGGAGCGTCCTGTGCTGTGGATGGCTGATGTCACCCCAGTCCATTAAAGCCAGAGTATGAGGGAAGCGTGTGTCTGTCAGGCCGTATTACATGAGGACGACAGTGATGGACTGCCTCAGGGATACAGTTGGAGCCTCTCATTCCTCCATCCAACCCTCCTTCCGACTCTTGGAGCAACCTTATGATGCCAGTAACAGCCCTCTCTCTCTCTCTCTCTCTCTCTCTCTCTCTCTCTCTCTCTGCCCTTCCTCTTCCCAGGAGGGGAACACAGTCAGTTTTTGCTGCATCATGTGCCTGCCTCTATCCATGTGTGGTCATGTGAAAATGTTACCCAGATAATTAAGCTACATTATTGATGAAAGTAACTTGAGCCCTAACTATAGTCTATTAAAGATTTCGTGTTTTCAAGCAAAAAATGTGAAAAAGTTGAAATTATTTTTGGGTTCTGGGAAGTTATAATGGGGATTTTTCATTATTTTATGATATTTATTGGATACTGGATATACAAAAGACTAGGAAGAAGAATATAAATGTATCTCAGTATGCAGCAGATGTGATTAGGGAATAGGGTAAACCACATTTACTGTACTTCTTCTGTGTTATTTTAAAAACGGCCAGGATTCTCTTAAGGTGATATTTACTGATTTCTAAAATCCTACACTGTAGCCATCCACCTGCTTTGTGTTGTTGTTTGTTAGACTGATGGATTCACTCCAGCATGCTCTGTCCAAAAGGCTCATGGTCCGTATCCGTGGTCCATCTGCCAGTTTTGTAGAATCCAAATGTTCTTCACAGCATGATCAGGCTGAACACTGCAGCAGCTCCAGCACGCAGCCTCCTGCAACACCGATGTCACACACAGACCTAAACACACTCACTCAGATCACCATTTATGTACACCTGTTAACATATTACTGTAACTGAGAAACTATTAGACAGTCTTATGTTAATTTTATGACCTTCCCCGGGATGCTCTTATTATTCTTGCATTTAATAAATAGACAACAGTGCCTTTAAGGTTATTTGTAATGAATGGTTAAGAGAATTAACTGGTATTTGCAAAATACTGAAAATCTGCGTTTACAGTTTACAGTGCCTCTGAAGATATGCAGTATTAAAGTTAAACAGCATATGAATGTGTTTTGTCTTCTAAACTGTATCAATGTGTGACATTACATTCAAATGTGTATCAAATTAATTAGTTAATCTAATATATCTGCTGCACTGCAACAACAGTTTCCTATTGTGTCTGTACCACTGGCAGTTTATATAAAGGGCTGTATCTTCAGTATACTGTCAGTGAACCCATCAGAAAGTCTTTGAACACTCCTTGAGGAAACAAATGTTGCATTCCATGAGTGTCGGAAATTCCCCTTTTCCCTATTGTAAATACACACAAAGATACCATTGACTCTGACAAGGAAACTCACGATATCTCAAGGATCAGATTTTTTCTTTTTTTCTTTTTTGTCTTCTAAATATAGCGACACACACACACACACACACACACACACACACACACACTGTAAACATTACCTTGTAACCGCTTGTTAATCCTCCAAGTACACCGCTCTTCCTTCAGGTGCTGAGAACTCAAATGTCCCGGGTTGACAAAATAAGCCGCGAGCGTTCTGTTACCATGGAGACGGATGAAGCCCGGAGCAGCGCACTGTAGCTAAACGTTAACTTTTGAACCGTTTTGTGTGTGTGTAAGTAAACTAAATGGTACAAAACACATGTTAAAAGTTGTTTTACCACTGTGAAGATGTCTTACGGTGCGGTAGTGAGCTGGTCGTCTACTTGCTCTAAACTTATCGCTACTTCAGAGACAGTTTTAACGAACAGCTGAATGTGTGGCAGCATGTTGACGTTAGCATTAGCTGTAATGCCCGTAGATAATTATATATTCTGTAGTTTATTTCAGGCGTTAAAAAGCAAGAATCTATCTACAATTTCTAACTTTTAATTGAATGTTTCCTCTAATTGCAGACCACCTCTTATCGTCCAGGAGCTAACCCAGCTAAGACTACAGAAAGATGAGGAGGATCATAGCTGAAGATCCAGACTGGTCCCTGGTTGTAGTCCCTTGTTTGTCAAACCTCTGTCTGCAAAGCATTGTCAGAAACTTTGAGGGTATGGCTCTTGTTTCTAGTTCCATTATTACACACACTTTTACACACTCACTTATACTATGAATCAAACTTTATATGTTACAGAAAAGCCAATATTTAGAGCCTTGACACCCGTCCAGAAAGCCTTTGTGCAGGAGAGATTGTCTACTTCCGTGCCACTGCATGTGACAGCCAACTTGATTGGTGATGGTGTCTACTGGAAGCGGTGCTGTGAGCAGCGGTGGGACCTTTGTGACGTCTCCCTTTATGGCAACAGCTGGAAACAGATGTTCTTCGAGAGGCAAATGGAGCACATCATTGAGCTTTTTATCCCGGATGTAACAGAGTCAAGTGCCGTCCTGGGGATGGTACCTCTTTGTAAGAACTATGTCAAAAGGCTGGAGATCTCCCAACTCCTGCCGCCTATCAAGGAGCCCCAGAAAGAGGAAGATGAATATGGCTCAGAGTTGGCAAGTGAAAATGAGTACGACGGACCGTCTATGGACCACTTTGACTTTAACATCCTGCTCAACAAGCTGACAAACCTGGAAGAGCTCCATTTGGTGTACAGTGTCAAACAGTGTGGTATGAACTTTGAATGGGAGATGTTTGAGATGACTGACAGAGATTGTGAGTCCCTCGCCAAGGCCCTTAAGTCCTGTAAGACTTTGAAGGTGAATATTGATTCCTCCTCAGCTACTTACACAAAAGAAAAAAGGAAAAGTCCTTTTGTACCTCTGACTGTCTGGAGCATGTTTGTTTCTCGTAATTCAGTTACAAAGCATCCTTTACTAACATTTTACAGCCCCTGGTGTCATGAAACAGGAAAATTGTTGTTTGCACTACCCAAACATTAAATTCATGCTCTATTTACATCAAAGAAAGGACAGCAGAGCCGCTGGCTGCAACCTAAATAAGTCACTATTTGACACAACATTTTTGGCATGTATCTGCTACTGCTTCTGTGCACAATATGGGACATGTACAAGAGATTATTGGAGTTGATATCAGGGCGGCAACTAACTAACGTTACGTAACAATTTTTTTGATTAATAATTTTTCTATAATGTATCAGAAAATAATGAAAACTGCCCAGCAAAATTTCTCAGAGCGTGAGGCGACAATCTTGCTTGTTTTGTCCGACCAACAGTCCAAAACCCAAAAATATTTCATTCACAATGATGTAACAGAGAAAAAGCACATTTGAGAAGCTAGGAACAGTGAACGACTACTTCATTATCAAAATAGTTGGCAATTGATTTTCTGTCAGCTGATTAACTGATTAATCAGCTAATTGTTTCAGCACTAGTTAATATTTCTTTGATTTACTTACTTAATTTTACATATATAAAGCATAGTCCCTGGTGGTAAATACAATAGCATTTAAGATAAGATAAGATATTCCTTTATTTGTCCCACAATGGGGAAATTCCAATGTTGCAGCAGCAAAGTGGATAGAGAAAAAACAGTATAAAAAACATTTAAGAGTAGGGAAATAATAAATGAAATAAAAACACTACGTACAAGAGAAAAAACAATAAGAATTCACAAACAACAGATAACACAAATAGTAGCAGCAGCAGTTGCACATGGGCAATAGATTGCACAGTGAATATGGAATGGTATTTTCATGTGTGGGCGAGTTCATACTGTCAAAAAACAGAAAAAGGGAGTTATTTTATAAATCTATGACATTATATGTGCTCCTAATAACTAAGTATTTTGTGCTACCTACAACACAATCTTGCTAATCTTCACAATATACTGTTTTTCTACAGCTTCTAAGGCTCCATCAAAGCCACATTGAGGATAAAAAGTGCCGTATGCTGGTGAAATGCCTTTTGGACCACCCGTCCCTCAGGGAGCTCGACTTCTCTCACAACCTGATCGGAGACAAAGGAGCCAGAGCCATCGGCAAACTGCTCACCAGGAATAAACTGGAGACACTGAACATGTGCGACAACGATATTAGAGGCCCGGGAGCCAAAGCTATAGCTCATGCCCTGTCCAACAACTCCACCCTTGTGTCACTCAACCTGCGTCTCAACCGTTTGAGGGACGAGGGGGGCGAGGCTATTGGCAAGGCCTTGCTGAACAACAACAGTCTGCGTCATCTGCACCTGGGAGGCAATGAGGTGACGCGGCCTACTGCCATTGCTCTGTCTAAAGTGCTAGTTCAGAATAACACCCTGAAGAGCATCAACCTCTCCTGTAACAACCTGGGTGTGGTAAGTAAATTACTGTTCTTAGAGCCTTTACCTGAGGGTGGTGCCATAGAAAAGGCCACTTATATCAAAAAGGTCCAAACTCTGTGCAGCAGATTCAGGATGTTGCAGGCTCGGCTCATCAATCTCAATTTGGCACGAATGTAATTAGTCGAACATGTATTGAACAAAAACACAACAGTTCTTATTTTCAGGTGATTATACACTAAAGAACACATACCTATGAATATTATATTAAATTTCTGCCAATAGATACTCCTAATAATTCAGGGACTTTAGACTGTTGATCGGACAAAACAAGCTTTTCAAATATGTCTACCTGGGCCCCAAAACGTAATGGGAATGTTTCATAACTTTCTGACATTTTATAGTATTTCACTGACACTGTCATCCCTAATGCTGCATCCCTAGTGTGAGTCTATTTTTCCAAAAAGGAAAAAAACAAACAAAAACATTGCAAGTTATCCTTTAAAATTGGTTTTGTACCATAAGAATGTGTAAAGTCTTATTAGGGGAAGTACTTTGAAATACTGGGCTGTTTTGAAACGCTGCATTTAATTCACCCCAAGCGTGCTGTTGCCCATACAGACATAGTACAGTGAAAAGTACAACAGACAAAATAGCTTTAAAGTGCAAGGTCATTCAATTATTCATGTGTGTTGAAAACATGCAATAATGGGAAGCTGAATAAGTGAGAGGGAGATCAGATTTTCCTCCTCGCATGCACTCTCCTCTTCAAAATTTCATTGTACAGTATATCTCAGACCAGAATACACGACGGAGGATCAAAAATCACCCACATAGCAGAAAAGGCAATGTGCAGTAACATCAATATCTGTGACCTTGGTCTACTCTTCACCAAAATAGAAACGGCTGTTTCAGACATAACAATAAAACACTGCCGACACTCACAGCAAGCAGTTTGTGAAAGTGTGGGCTATGTCGGACAGCAAGAGTAGCCGAGGGGTGATTTTTCAAGGTTGTCTCCTCAGACCTTTACAGAACAGCCGTCCTGTGATATGTTCAACATGGACATGCATCAGTACCAAATGTGTTTGTTTCTCTCTCTCTCTCTCTCTCTCTCTCTCTCTCTCCCTACCTGTTTGTATGTGCAGGATGGAGGTAGAGCTCTGGAGGAGGCGATGTCTCACAACACCGGCATAACAGAATGCGATCTCCGTCTGACGGAGGTTGACGAACAGAGCGTTTCTTTCATCAACCAGGTGGTTTGGACCAACCAGAGTTTAGAACAAAAGAGACGTGCTCAGGAGAGTAAAGCAAAGTAGACATCAGCAGCTCCTTTTTTTTAATACAATACACCCCTCTTTGTTAGTTATTGATCAGCACTCCTCTTGTATTCATTTAGGCATGTTGCACGACCACTTTATGCCAGCTCTGCATCTCAAATTAAAGTAGATGAACAGAATTATTAAAAAAAAAACACAAAATAATATTTTTGTTCTTAGTAAAAAACACTATAAAAAACAAATTTTTATATTTTATGGTATGTATTTCTGATGCCACAAATAATTATCAAAAAGGATGTCCCTTAATGCTACTTAAAAAAACATTTTAGTCTTTTAAGCCTTTACTACAACCATAACTTTAAACACAACAAGAACAAAAACAAGAAGCATATTTCTCACATATTAAGATGTAGACCATATATCCAGTAAACAATACACAAAGCATTGCATAGTGAAGTTCTTTGGGATGTGGCAACCATTGTGGGAAGTAATTTCTGACACATATTTTAGTGAGCATTTCAGTTTATTGAGGAGCTTTTTTTTCCCATTTTGATTTTGACACAGATTTGGTATTCAGTCCTTATGTAACATCAAGGCAACGTTGTGGTGATGTTGGAATACATACAGACTTGTGTTTAGTGTTTTTTTTTTTACCTATATCTACTGGCTAATAGTATGGTAGTAACACCTTTGCTAGGCAGCAATAAAACATCTTAAGTGTAATTAATGTCACATTTTTCCAGTTTTTAATCTTGCAAAATCACTTGTTTTCTAGAATCATACAAAAAGAGGTGAACCTATTCTGTAAATTGATGGTGGACGAGTACATAAAGCAAACTACACACGATAGAATACTGATATTCTTTACATCAGTAATCACTATCAATAATCACCCAATCATGTTCTTTAAAAAAGATGTGTTTGTGTGTATGTGTGACATTATTAGTTAAATAAAGGTGTATCAAATATGATTTTAAAAAAATGTAAAAATGGGTTTAAAGGGAAACACAAATCATTCAAACTAGTAAATGAAAAGCAGCACAAAGATGCTGCCGGCTGTAAAACATTTTACAGTTTGTATTTGTATTGCCATTTGTGACTTACCAAACTCACCATTTAACATCTGCACATCAAAAAATGTCCCTGCTTCAGCTACCTCTAAGTGTGCGTGACACATTCAGCTAAGCACAAGCGCCACATCGACAGTCATTCTAGTCATTCCGGCCTCTCGCCTCTATTGTTTTATTTACAGTACAAATCCTTTTCTTGCCCTACAGTCTTGAAAATCCACAAAAATGATTGGAATATAAAAAGACGAACCCCAGAGCGTTCTTGAGTGAAAGAGTACGTATCATAACAACCTAATCTACTTAATACACATGATAAAGGGTTCAGTGCTTTGCATGACAAAAGCCTTTATGCTAACAGTCATCTATGGAGGAAAAATGTCTCGTTATGAACCTTCCAATTAGATTTATAACCATTTTGAACGCCCCCAAATATTTTTTTTGTCACCGCTGTTACGTAAACATTGCACTGGTAAACACATTGTTCTATTCTTACACATGACTATGTATGGATATCACAGTGAAGCCATCTGAAAGGCTTGTTGGCTAATGATGAATGAGAGAATGTGATGACTTCAGTATAAAACAGTGACTAAAATCCCGAAATTATATACTCAATAGATGGTTTAGTACATTTTTTAATCCCTTGTGGAGTTTGCATGCTCGTCCTTGTGGTTTCTTTACCCTTTACATGGACGGTACATGATTCCCTATATATAAATATGTGGTTGAAGAAATTTAATTAATTCATTTCAATCCCTGCGTCTCATTTGGTTTCCTGCTGTTTAAAAAAATGTCGATGTTGTTCATGTTGCTCAAAAAGGTTTGCGTTGTTCACCACCCATAAACCCTAAACGGGATAGTTTGACATTTTAGGAAATACACTTATTTGTCTTCTTGCTGAGAGTTAGATGAGAAGATCTTAACAACGCTCGTATCTGTCCAGTAAATATAAGGCTAATACAGCCAAAAGCCCGCTTGTTTTTAGCTTAGCATAGACTGGAAGCAGGTGGAGTACAGCCACAAGGGAAGGAAACACTTTATATTCCAGCACACACACCCTGTAAAATCACAACTTCTTTTTACGTTTCTGCTTTTGTTCAGAATAAACTAACGAAATAAAACGTGGTGATTGGTGAGTTTTAGAGGTGCTGATAGTTGGATTTTGTTCAGACAGAGCTAGTTTAGCTGTGGCTGTGTAAGCTAAGATAACAGGTGTTCTAACAGTTTATGCTGCTCGAATCAATAGTCTAACATTAACCCACATGCATGTGCAGAACCGCGACGTAGCACATCTCGATAGGTCGCACTTTATCTACTCATCTAATTCTCAGCAAGGCAAATAAGCATAATTTCTAAGTTTCTACACGTGAACTATTTCTTAAACTTTATAAGAAGATAACCTAATACAATGATCTCTTTATATTGATATTGATATGGTCAACATATATGACCTGACACTTGATTGAAATGCTGTTTAATGATGGAGTATTAATAACATGTAACACATTACTTCCTAAGACATTTCTTAAGTTCTAATGGTGCATTTCAGTTTAGTAAATCACCGGTTGGAAACTAATGTTCCCTTTGTTATCTGGAATGAGAACATTAGTCATGTTATGTTTGGTTGTAAAACCCCACATTTAAAAACTGGTTATTACATAGCTGGTCCTTGCTGAATCCTTTAAAAAAAGCAAAATAAACCGTGTATATAACTGCTTCCTAAACCTAAAGTTCAGAGAGAAAGGAGGGATAAACAGGTTTTTGGATGTTGTTGCAAAGCAGAATCTTTGCCCTGAATACTATCCTGAGTTCTAGGGGCTTGCATAGATGACCTGTGAGTTGTGAAAAGAGTTTACAGAATGATTTCTTCCTAAACTGTCCTCTGTTGAATGAAATGTGAGGTTTGATAGACTCATCGTTTTTATCATCGCTCACCCCGGTTGACTATTTTCAGTGTATTCTCTCGTATTGCTGTAAAGATAAAGTCTGCAACACCACACGTGGAATGTACTGAATATGGCTAATTGGTCAAAATTTACAATACAGGCTCATTATTGTGAAGACAAGCTGTAACAAGAAGTAACACAAAATGTCCGACCACAGGAAAGATTTTGATATTTACTATTTTTAGACATTCTAATGATCTTAATGGTCTTAATGGTGGAAAACGATCCACGCCAGTTTATCTTTCACTGCAGGTCTCATGAGATGAAGGCTGGCTGGTTTGTATATAAATAACTCTTGAATAAGATCTGTGCTTATTTTCATCTATCAGGATTAAGAACGTTTGCAAAGAAGAAATAAAGCAGACTTTGAGTGATGATGAGTTGTGCTGTGGGATTTTACAGTTATTTTTCAAATTAATATTAATAATTAGCTACTTTGTTACATTTTGGAAACCTATTCCTACATAATGTTAAGTTCTGGCGTGCCTGATTGTCGTCATCCATTAAACATTTATTGTTGTGCATGGCTTGGCTGCAAAAGAAAATTCACCAGGACTAAAATACTGCATGCACTCATTTGAGAGGAAGTTTTTTTTTTTTTAGTTCTTTAAAGTAATCCTGTCATATTATTAAATCTGACACTATCAGTAGTGAATCCAGGCCTCTGCCTATTTCTAGCGTCTGTGATGGCCAGCTCTCTGGCTGTCTCTCTGATATGCATCAGCAGCAGCAGCAGCAGTCGGCTATACAGGAGCTGTGTTATATCATGAGGAGAATCGTCTAAGAACCGTGCAGGGCCTGATTCTTAAAACCTTGTGTGTTTTAAACAATAATGAGATCGGGTTCTCTCCAGTGCATTACCTTGTGCTATTATGAGTGTAAAGTCGAGTTGTTTTTAATGAGACGATGTTGAGATGAGATGACTAGAGTTATAATAGCTTATGCTTTGTCAGTAACAGTTGATCGCTAGGCACTTAAATAAAGAGGTAGGCTGAATACAAATATTGCCAAATATGAAATAAAATGGATCTTTGAGATTTTAAACTAGCTGACTTGACACTGATCTATAAATATTTTGTGAGGTTTATTAGTATTCAGTTGGCCATTATACAAAATGTACAGTTTATAGTTATTAGGAAACTGTTTGAAGAAGTGTTGTAGATTCAGTTTGAAGTTCTTGTGTCCTTTAGCCCACCTGTGCTAAATTATTCATCGACTGTGTTGCTATATTCAGCAACCCAGGAAGTATAATGTCATTGCATCCAAGCCAATTCCAGCAAACTTGATATTTTATTTATTTCAGCATCTGCACTATTTTTATACTATGGAAATGTGTTATTTTTTTAAATGGATTTCCTTGAGCATTGACTTTGCATGAACAGATTTAAATCATGCAGCATCAAAAGGTTTCACATGCAGACGTTAAGCTGCTAGATTTGAGTTAACTCCACTTTATAGGAGCCGTAAGACATGTATTTTATTTCAGCAAAACTATTTAGTCTCATTTATACGTTGACAAGGAGGCTGATATCTTTGCATTTCCCCTCATAATTCACCCAATTCACAGGACTCACGTGATGTGTGTGTGAGATTTTCTCAATATTTCTTCATTTCTCATTCAGGCATCCGTTAATTGTCATATTCCTTTGATTTCTTGGCAATTTCTTAGGCTACCGCTGAGTCAAAACCTACATTAGGCTTCAAATACTAGAAAGTGTTACTCACGTCCTTGTAAATTGTCTGTGACTAAGATTTACAAATATGGCATTTACAGTAGGATGTGACTCCTGTTGGTATTCCTTGGTTATTTGACTCGCTGCAGGAGAGTACGCGACACTTTGGCAGTTTGGTCCTTTAAAGCGGCGTTGTATTTTAAACAGTCTCAACAATGGCATCAAGTCTGTTTTTCCCTGACCTATTGACTGTACTGTGAGGACTTTCCCAGATATAGTTGGCTTCCTCTTTATTTGAGGCTACAGTATATTTAAAAACTTGAGCAAATCCTTGTTTGTGGGAACTTGTAGGTGACTGAGTCTCAAGGGAGAAGCAGAAGTCAATGTTAGCCCAACCTTGGTCTAAAGAGTCTCTGTTCCTGTGTCATTATATTCCTCGCTCAGATAAGTCTGGCAGCTGTGGGTCATAGAGAAGTCTCCACACAGGAGCCATTTCTGTGCAGGGAGCGGTGGTCGTGGTTGAGGCAGCCTTCGTTACGATGTACAATGAGCACTGGGAAGTACAGAGCGTCCTGGTAGGCTGGAGGGTTCTCCTCACTGGTCTGCTGGCCTGACAGACAGCGCGTGCTCTCTGTAGGGCAGGACTGCTCATTCAGGCTTCCACTGCTCCTCCACAGGCAGCTCCGCCTGGAGCCATACAACCGACCCAGCGAGAAGCGGCTTGCACTGAAGGGGATGCGGGGGCTCCCCGTGTTGCAGATGCTGAGGGCGCTGCGAGAGAAGATGGAGGAGCTACTGATGGCGCGGTGGCAGCGTTCACAGTTCTGCCTGTAGCTACCGTAGCCTCCACATACGGAGTAGCTGTTACAGCTCCCCGAGAGCTGGGACAGGTCCATGAGAACTGCCTCTGAGTAACTGGGCACCAGCTGCTGGTTGGATCGGATGTGCCACTCCAGCTCTGTGCTGTCGATTGTGTTGACTCGCGGGATGTGTCTGCAATACGGCCGCTCCTCAGATGGTGTTGCTGGAACATAGTCAAAGCCAAACAGCTTCTCTACGTGGTAGTGTACACAAGCAGTACGGTACTCTGTCAGCACCCGCAGAGGCCAGGAAAGAGTGAAAGCAGCTGCTGCCCAGAAAGTGGAGTTTAATGCGTACCAGGGGAGTTGGTTAGGGTCAGAAAAGGCAATCATATACTCTTTAAAGTCTACATTCTTCAGATGCATCCCCTCACGGGCCTCCATGTAGTCATCCAGGCCCTCATTCTCTGTGAAGAACCTGGCCCGCTGGGTCAGGTAGGAGTTCTCTGACTCCACATTGGCAAAGCTAAAGCACTTAGTGAACCTCAGCCTGGTGATGGGGAAGTCCTCAAGGCCCAGCAGGTGCTTAGAGATGTCCTTAACCCCACAGTTCCCATAGTCAAACTCTGCCTCAGCCACGTGGGTGTTGACTCGCTCGTGGTAGACCTGCGTGGTGGTATAGGCATCTCCGTTGCGGTAGCGCGTCACCTGCCGCGTCCTCCTGACATAATGATAGCTAATGGCCTTCCACCAGATGCACGGCGTAGCCCCCTGCATTCGCTGGATGCGCTCTGCCACACTGTCCACATCCACCTTGTACTGCAGCTCATTCCTGGTGTAGCAGTGCCAGCACTCCACCAGGTAGACCACATAGAGCATGACCAGGAAGGCCAAAGGGATGTAGATGTAGCCGTTAGAGCAGGGACTGTCGTGGTACATCATAGATTTTCCCTTGTAAGCACTGTCGAAGGAGAGGCGTGTGACCTTGGTCACCTGGCACCAGGCCATCACCCCGACGCAGCTGTACATCAGCAGGGACAGCAGCAGGCATTTCCAGTGAGTTTCCTGACACAAGGATTTCGTCAGGGACTGTTTGTGGGGCCGCTGCTACAAAGAAGATGAGAAAACAGCAATAAGTCAACTGAACAATACTGGAATTATTTTAACATAACATAGTTTGTGAACATAATCAAATACTGTCCATATGCTGTCCTAGAAGTAAATGGTATTGACATAATCATTTCTCAATAATACTCAGACCTCAAAGCAATTAGGAACATAAATGTATTACCAGTAATTACACTAAAATTGTATTTTAATTGGTGGACATAAGTATGACCTAAATATCTGTTAGGTACAAAGTTAGGAACAGTTAGTAGCCCATGCATATTAAATATTTAAGGAAATATTCCGCAATGTAAGTGCTTTTGCATAGTTTATACATGAGCCTTGAGCCAGTTTCTCATATCTTGCTCTGTGCTTGTTATAATCAAAAAACTCTCTTATACTCAAATTCAATAAAAATGTCTGATTAAAAAAAAGAAAAAGTACAATGTTAAGTATATACCTTGTTGTCAGTACGGAGCACTGTGAGCTTCTGTCTGACTGGTGTGTGGGTGTCAACATGGTCACAGTGCATGTGTTTATATAAATATGATACGGAATAAAAGAGCAGAAATATTCTGAGGGGTATAGACTCCACATTTAATGTCAGGCCAGCCAGAAAAAAAGGAGTCGTTTGACTCTGGCAGCATAAAGCTGGTGCCATCCTTTATCACCACGGGGCACAGCAACCCCCAGTGCATCAAGAGCTAGTCACGCCTTTTGGGAGCACTGCCACACAAACCTGGCAGAGATTCAAAAGCCCCAGGATGGACGAATTATAACAAAACAAAACTCATTCAAACAATTTGCATAACAGACATTGCACCAGGGTATAGACATAAGAAGCACTAAATCCGTGCTGCACCGGATTGTATAGCAGCACTTCATTCAGCTCAACAACAATGGATATCTTCTCCGTCTCTTACATAGGTCAGCCCCTGCATACGAGTGACCACAACAGTCAAACAACCAGCATCACTGCATTGATGTATTGAATTCAATATGTCAGCTATGTGCTCTTCGAGTGACAGACTGGCATAAATAATAGATGTTCTTTCTCCGTAATTATCTTCGCCACCTTGGTCACATGGTCCCCAAGTCCCTTACCAAGCCAAGGCTACACCCCGTGGGGTAAAAGGGATTAACATTGAAATTCCCCATTGAGATGAACCTACTGCAGAAGGAGTATTTACTCACTCGCATCCTGCACATGCTCGACAACTATAATCAATATAACATGACATACTTTGTGGCTTATGTTACACATTACAGCTTCTGTTTAAGCAGCAGGAATAATGATAAACAGTTGTGTAGAAGGAAACATCACACTGCATAAGAACTAGTTAATTTACATGTGTACGCCTTTTAATTGAAAGCGAATATGAGGCAATATTTGATTAAAAACTTGCGAACAAAAAGGCAAATATAATCTTGAAACAGCAGCATGTATAAATGTAGATATGCCATTGAACAAAAATCTATTACACACCAGTTTCATCCATGATTTAAAGAATTGTAGCAGAGATAATAACTAGGCGCTTCAGGTGCAGGGAGTTTTATTAATGGAAACTTTAAAATACCACCAAGATTTTCGCAAACAGATGACATTTCAATTAAAAACTCCCTGGCTGACACTGTAACAGAGCTGTTAATTAGACCCATGGATAGCAGAAAAGGAAGGAAGTGAGTCACCACAAACATAGTCGTGTTGACATGTTTGATATATTAGACAAAGAAATTCCTCCGGCCTGGTTGAATAGCAAGAATGGTCTCTTCAAGCAAACGGGGGGAAATACCTCAGATATTTGTCATGCAGGGAAACCCAATGTAGCTGAGACAAAATATGAAGAAAATGATTTAAACTGCTGTAAATTAAGTTTATGAAATAGGTTTCATTACTGTGTGATTTTAATGTGTGAATTAAAAGCTGCTTCTAAATTGTACTGATACAGATTTACCGTATATTTGATACAATTATGGTGTAAAATTGTGTAAAAAGCTTCAAAAAGGTTCAGTCAGCTGGAGGCTCTATCATTATTATTATTATTGTTGTTGTTGTTAACATTTGGTTGCAATTATGTTGTATGTATTTTACTGTTCGTTCACACAAAAACACAAATAATTTATATCCAGGCTACAAAATGTACAACTAAACATATCAGGAATAGAAAACAACATATTTTTGGGATATTTACCGCACAATCCTGCATGTTTATGTCCCAATTTTACCTTTATGGTTTACAGTAATGGCCTGTAAACGTCTGTAGGTTGCCATGATTGTGGCTTTGACTAAAGCACTTTGCATTATATAGATGCTTTAACACTAAATCTCTGAAATAAAAGAGCCTCAGAATGGGATAAAATATGTAGTTTCATCAGGAAGGATAAAATCCATAAAACACCCCGTTGTAAAATGTAATTAATATTTTAGAAAGCAAATGTTTCAGTCAGAACCTTCAAGACCGGAGAAGCTTCACAATTCATGAGGCCGCTGTGGCGCCTTTAACTAAGTGCCTCTCATAGTCATGGACACTTTCTTTTGACATAATAAGACCAGCTAGGTTATATAAAAACCCTCTTGTGTAATGGATATGTAACTTGTCCAACATGTGTGTTTGTAGGGGAAGTCTACACAGTGACACCGTGACTGTCCTCACATTGTCTGGAGCCAGATTTATTTGTCTTTAAACTAACAAACAAGTGGATGAGTTTTCTTATTGGAAAATAACATTCTTCTAACCTTTCATTGTAACAGTGGCAGTGATTGTTTGTGTCATTTTCCTGAAGACTCGTTTGGGCCCTTTTCAGGCGCCATAAGTGGTCCCCAAACCTCATTTTGGAAACCACTTGTCTGGAGAGGAGACAAACAGGGGTGCATCCGTGCACTTTCACACTCTCGGGTGCGCGCTTGGACGCACAGGTTCATAAATTACTGCATTTTAACTGTAATCACATAAGAAATTCACTTCAATTCCCAAGCTTCCCGTGCACATTGGACCCAATTAAACCCTAATCTTCAAAATCTGATTATCATAGTGAGATTATTTTCCACTGTGATATCAATGAAATATGTCACATCATTAAAGGCTCAATTTGCACCCCCCGTGCATTTTGGGTGAGAAAACGGTCCTGCACACTATATAAACAATGTGATCTCACCTCCTCTCTGGGGCTGTCCGACTCCTCTTCGGGGACGGTGGTGGTGCTGCTTTCACTGGCCGTTGCAGCCGATGCTGGGGACATGATGATGACAACGGAGCAAAAACCGGGGCATGGATCTCCTGGTGGGATGGGGGTTTTCCAAATCAGGGTCAAACATAAAGACACCGAGAACCCCCCCTGCGCATCATCCAGCAGAAACCAACCCGGCCGGAGCCCAAATGCAAACGCTCAAAAGCTCCATCCTCCTCATCCCAGCATCTTCCAGGTAGCCAGGCAGACGTCGCTGGGTATCGCCTACGGGAATCGGGTCATTGTGCCTCGGAAGACGCGCAAAATAGACTAGAGACTCCTCCCGCAGTGCAATGACTGGATGCTGGTGGATACTGCTGCGAGGGATGCAATGTTAGGAAAGGCGGCAGTCAGCTCCTCTCCCTGTGGGCAGTGCCCATGGCAGCCAGTGGAGCTGAGAAGCAGGACAAAGGCGACAGACAGCGGCACGTGTGAGCAGCCAGCCCCGACACCACAATGTAAATAACACACACACACACACACACACACACACACACACACACATCCCTGTTCAAGTGCATCCCAACTGCACACAGAGGCGGTGCTGCAGAGAGAAACCCACCCCCTGCATAATGTATGACCATGTCTGTATGGACCAATTATGATACAAACATCCCCTTTAAAACATATTAGGCTATAATACTGGAACAAATAATAACAGCAGCTGGTTACTGCAGATATATGCAGCTAAGTCGTCAGTATAGATGAAAACATATTAGTCAACCTACACAGTAAACTCACAGACAAATAATACAGGGGGAAAAACATACAGTGCATATGATACAATAGGCCTGCAGCAACGTTGTGGTGTTCCTGTTTTGGTTGAGAGTGTTGGTGAAAGTACGGTAAGTTATGAGGACATAGTTTGTTTATTGTTGAACTGAATGGCATTAAGATAAATTATTAATACATAATTATAGAGAGATAATAATTTACAGTGAGATAGTGAAGATGTTGGAGGCTTTCATAGCTCTGGTTGACATAATGCCAAATTGATTATCGATTTATGGTCCAAACACTGAAGTATTTTTTTCTTTTAGTGATATCTTTGATGCTGTAGGTGATAAGTGATACGTTTAAGTGGTGGTCACTTAGTAATGACCCCAAAGTAATGATCCCCTATCAGTGAAACATAGAATCACGTTATGATGGGATTTGTGCAGTTTTTTAATCCATAAACTGAATTTGTTGAGCTCTGTGTTCTGCTGTTTCTTCACATAAACAATAATGAATCTTGCTGTATTCTGACAAATCTTAAAAGATTGTAACATGTCAACAGACTTTTCCTTTTCCTTTTGAAGACAAGCTTTAATGAGAAAGCATAAGCTGATGCACTCATGCTTTTTTTTTTAAATTAGTGTGAAATACAAGAACACATAATATGAAGATTAATAATGTATAAAAGACTATTCTACATTCTTGCTGTTTCAGTTTTTTCCTTTTTTAAACAGCTCTGTTTGCACAGGAAGCCTTCAGCTTACAATCCTGGCACACCAGTTCTTGTTTATCATAGCCCACAGTATGGACATTGGACTGGACTGCTGCTGACATAAAATGGAATAAGTAAACGTAACAGTAGCTGACAGTAAAACAGATGGCAGCTCTTGGCAGAAGTGAAGGTTTCTCTCTGACAGTCGCTATTGTTTTATAGACTATATTTATGATGGATATGGCCCTCTCAGAGCAAAGAGCTGCAGTGAACTCTCTGACGGCTAAACCACAACAAACATTTTCATGATGGTAAAGGAAACAAGAAACGATAGCTGGGTTATTCCTGAACTCTCAGGAGGTCAAACAAATTGTAACTTTAAACTCTGCTTACATGTATCATCTCTTCTTGTATACGGGTCTTGACCCGGGACAGAAAATAGTGGACAAATAGGAGTATTTTGTCCCTCTTGTTCTGGTTGTTGTTTGAATATATCAATGGAAAAACACTGGAGCTCCCACACAAGTATGCAAAACTACTATGCATATTGTTGCGTTATGTAATACTGTAAGTCAAAGTGCAGATTGCCATTGGAGTCACTCCGAAGCACACGCAGCTCACATTGCAGCACTAATGATTATTCACTGTCACTGTCAAATTAAATTGGACAAGATTAATGCAAACCAAATTAAGCTTCTAAGAAAATGGCCTGAAATCGCTTTAATAATAGTGTTTGTCGACCGGTGACAAGCCTACTGCTGTAAAGGTTAGGACTTCTGGTTAGGACTTAAGAACATAAAGGAGTTTAATGAAAGGAGAAATGATTTGTGTTATTTTGGTGAACAAATGAGTTGATACTTGGATTTGAATCAGACTTAGTTGAGGCTTGACAGCAACAAGTATTGACTTGGTAAAATCCTTAAAGGGACATATCAGTGTGCTTTCAAGGTTTAGCTCTTTAACTACAAATCATGTATACTTAATATTTTTGCTGAGCATTTTGATTATGAGTTGAGTCTTTTATGTCAGTGTTACATTATTGGTGCAGGTAGTGCAGCTTTTTTTTATATATATTTTTTATATTACTTTTTGTCTTTATTAGACAGCTGAAGATCGACAGGAAAGAGGAAGAGAGATAAAGGGGATGACATGCAGCAAAGTGGTCGGATATGAATGGTAATGCAGTTTAACACTGATCTGAGAAGTCTGCACTGTGTGACCTCTTAACAATACATAACAATGTACCGGTAACTCTGACGAACATTATTACACTTGATCACTGTGATGGATTACACAACTGAAGCGGGGTTTTATAAATGCTGACGTCATGAGTTCATTGTCTCTATTTTTTTATTTTTTATTTAATCAGTTAACCGTTTAGTTATGTGTTGCGTAATATGAGGATCTACATGTTGTTTCAAAGCTTTCTCCACACGGTCATGACAAGAGTTGGGGGGTTATTTATTTAATTATATTTTTTGTTAGGAATCAGAATATAAATCTGTGTTAGTTTTTAGTTGTAGAATGTAGACTAAAGCCCCCAGATTCCCAGAAACAATACAAACCCAAGTATGATTGTTAAAAATTATTTAAAAAATACATAATACAGACAGAAAATAGTATAAAAAGTCCCCCATAACAGGAAATAGTCTGCTCAAAATTCATCCAAATTACTAAACTTAAACTAAACTTCCCACAGTTACTGAGTTCACTATTTGAGTTCATTGTACAGTTTTACGTTGTTTATATATATATATATATATATGGGGGTCCCTTAAAGAAAAAGGCTGGGAACCACTGCCGTATAGAAATTAATGGAAATTAATTGCTGCCAAAAATGTCTTGCAAAATGTTTATTTTAAGTCATTTTTACTGAATTACAACTGAAATTAACCCCACTCACCGTAGGTCATGGTCACAGTTTTATTTTGAAAATATATCACTTCCGTGTTTAGGTTACTTAATGTTTTTTTTTTTTAACTTTATTAAACTTCTTCAAGTAACAAACAGGCATCAATGGATTATTGGAGTATACCTAACTACCTGCTATCTTCAAGGCATTTATAAATGCCACAAAGCTTGGAGCAACTTAAGAAAAATCTACACTAGTGAATCTGAACTGTACCTACAATTAAAATATAATAATTATTATTATTATTATTATTATTATTATTATTATTATTAATTTTACATCTTTGTTTTGGAGAAAAACACCAACATTATCCCCCCCAAAAAAAAAACAGGCTCAACAAGACTCAGTATCCTGTTGACAAACTGCGCTATACATTACTATCTTCAGTTCAATCTCACTCTTTAAGAATCCACTGCGTCGTTAATTGTTTTGAAATTGAACCTCAGACTTTTGATTTGTCTGCCTCGCTCAAAGTTTGTTGAAGTTTGCGCGTGCGTCGTGTGTGTGTGTGTCTGTGTGTGTGTGTGTCTGTGTGTGTGTGTTAGTCCACGCGCACTGGGGATTCCCCGCGTGACAGAAACAGCTTCGCCTTTCACATGTCAGTTCTTCCCCTTATCGCCTTTCATTGCTCATATGCTCTCCGCCAGGAGCTCATGCTGTTACCGGATATAGACGACGAAGCTGCTGTTTTTCGCTTCATTTACTTGGGTTTTTTTTTTTTTTTTTTTTTTAAACCCATTTCACGAATGGCTGGAATGGCCGCATATTAAAACTTTTTTTAAAAACAGCAGGAAAAAAAATCTATAATCGATAGAAAAACTTTAAAGAAAGGGGGCCTGTTGCTGCTGTGAGATAGTGTGTTAGTCGGTTAGTGGCATGAAACGCTCATTCCTCTGGTTTCACAAAGGAGCGGTGGTTTCCTCAGGTGTCAGCAGGCTGTCCTCGGAGTCCGGTCACATCACCGAGCACCGGGCTTTGTAGCCTTTAAAAAATCCTCGGGGGGAAGGCGGGAGGGGGAAACCCAGAGAGGGAGAGAGAGAGAGAGAGAGAGAGAGGGAGAGAGAGAGAGGCCACCGCCACCATGGCAAGCGACGACTGCAGGAAAGATGATTTGCTGGAGGATAACCGCACAGACTCGGGCATTGACTCGTACCGCTCCATACTGAAGCCGGAGGAGCCCCGGGAGCCGAGCAGCGACTTCACCGGGCCGAGGGACAAGTTTTCCACCGTGGAGGAGCGCCTGGACTCAGCCTACGGCTCCTCGTCCATCACGGTGGAGAGTCTGACAGATATAGTCGGGGACTGCACGATTTCCAACGCCAATGAGGAGCAAGAACACATCTCTGAACTCTCTGAACAGGAGGAGAACTTGCTCACGACTATTACTGAAGATGGAGACACGTATGTTTTTTTTTTTTTAGTTTATCTTTCTCAGTTTCTCAGTGTAAAAGAAAAAAGAAAACTATTTTCTGTGCTTGCTTTTGGGTCTCTGCTGAAAGGCCCACTGTTGCACACTGGTGGGTGAAGTTCAAACATGGTGCCTTGCATTTCTTCTAGAGTTTCTTGAGCAACTTTTTCACCAATAATGTTTCTCATTTAGTAGTCTGCAGTGTCACATTCACTATAACTGTTGTGTTCATTTGCCAGAGTAATTAACACTGTCAACACACAGGTGATTGTTTTTTTTAAACATGAGTAGCTCTGGTGGCTATGGCTGCAACTTGTAATCATTTAAACATCAGTTGATCTGCTTGGTCTATAAAATGAATAGAAAATAGTGAGAAATGCTCATCACAAGTTCCCAAAGATACCTTCAGATGTCTTTTGAGGAGCATTTGAGGAGCTGGAACCAGACAATATTTGTCATTTTGGCTTGAGAAACAGTGATTAACTGATTAAATTATCAACTCACTGAATAGACTTAATAGTTTGAGCTCTACTGTGTGTACTGTGTTAGTGCAAGCAGCTAATAATAAATAACGTTTTCTTCCACCGGAGCTAGTAGAACCTTAAAACACTTATAAATGGCAACGTATGTGTAAATCCGTTCTTCCCATGACTCTGGTTTTGAAGGGGATTTCATGGCGGCGTTGTGCTGCAGACTCTTTTAATGAACTTTGTCATGAATGCGGACGGGCCTCTCTAGTCAGAAAACAGAAGTGAAACAGATAGGCCTGGACTTCCCCATGCAGCACAGACAAAGCACATGCTGTGAGGCAGCAGTGTGGACGGCTTTTGATCCAAGAAACTTGTTCATCAGGATGGGACAGTGTGTGTGTGCACATGCTTTTTAAATTGGTGGATCCCATCATTCACTAGCTGCTCGCTCTCTCTCTCTCTCTCTCTCTCTTTTTTTCCTACCAGACTAGACATCTAGAAATGTCAGTTAGTTCCCTGTGCCTGTGGCTGTTTGCTGCCGTTCATTTCTCAGTTTGACTAAATGAAAGTGCTTTTTTTGTGTGTGCACACAATCCAAACACCTCAGCCTCCACACAGTCTTTATCAGCGCCGTGCCTTCTCTTGCGTGTGACCCACTCATCTTTTGTTGCTATGTCATCACGTCTGTTTTGACGTGAAAGCGCGAGGGCCCTGCTAATGACAACTGCAGCCACTGCTGGGATCCGGCAAATGATGTAGTCACAGCATTGTAGAAGTATTGTTGTGTCTCTGACCTCTTTTCATTTCCGCCTGCCGATTGTTGGGGCCACATGGTTTCATTATCACACTTATAGATACCTGGGATGGGAAAAAAACACCTGAGACATGCACCACACTCACTCACTGGGCTGCTCAGACTGTGAGAGAATCATGCAAACATAATTTTTCCCCCAACCGTGGGATTTTTTTTTTTTTTTTATTCATTCAAGTCTTACTCAAACCAGGAAGTCCCTTTCATACTAAGACGTTTGCTCACAGGGTAGATCCATTAATCTGGAGACATTTTAAGGTGGGATAAAGAACTGATTCTGCTTCATTTATCGTAGATATTTTAATCAGAAAACTGTTCAGTCAGTTCTTTTTCCAGTTTCTGGAAAGTCTCACTGGTTCATATTAACGGCTGCCATTAAGGATGAATCATTGTCTGGATTAGTTGATCAGCTGTTTGGTCTATAAAACATCAGGAAATACTGGAAATGCTCATCGCGTTTCCCTAAAACCAAAAGTAACATTAAAATTGCTTTATCTGTCCATAAAACAGTCCAAGATATTTAGTTTACTGTAATTTTAAGACAAGGCAAAGCAGCAAATCATCACATTTTAGAAGCTGGAACCATCTAATGTTTAAAAAATGACTTAAACAATCAATCACTAATGAAAAGAGTTGCTGATACATTTGTTTTGTCAATCGACTAATTGTAGTGCTCTAGCTATATTTAGTAATACAGTCCATAGATACAGTATGACCAGTTCTTTTTTTTATAGGCTTGTCATATCACAACATTACCTTCAACCCATAATATCATTCTTTATATTTTCACTTTATTCTGCTTTAAAGTTTTTAAGTTTACCTTTAAAATGAGCATATTTGCAATTTTGCAAGTGAAAGTTTTTGTGAAGATTTCTTTATTCCTCTTTTCTTTATTCATCATCATTGTTGAGTCCCCTGGTTATTTTTCTAGTTTTTATTTAAAAAAAACAACAGAGAATTTGTTCTGGATGTGAAAAATGGAAAGAAAGTGTGATGCAAGATAATACAAGAAAGTTTTATTGATCATCCAGCTAAAAAGTACAAGTGATGTGTCATCCATTGTGCTAGAATTTTAGACATGTCTGTGTTAAAGCAACCACTTTAACTATGATTCACTTGGTATTATTTTGGGTAATGATTCATGTCAATTATATAGTTGCATTTAACAGTTTTTTTTAAGGCTTAAATGTTAATAAAGAATAACAAGATCACACTGAACCACCAAAGTACAGATGAAACTAAAGTGTATAATATTTAACTTGAGATTTGTCATTGACTTCCTCAAAGCAGACGGCTGAATGAAATGTCTGCAGCAAGATTTTGTGGGAACGTTTGATCCCACACTGTCTGTCTCTGAATGGTTAAATGACATTTAATCTGAAATAAGAAAACCTCATTGGCGACCTTCAAGAGAGCGCAGTAACCGCCGTGTTATACGCTCGACAGCACACTTTATTCTTCAATGGGAAAAAAACATCCTTGTGCTGTTTTGTGACTAGAAATCAGGTTCAGCTTTAGCATTATTACAATCTTTCTACAGATGAGGCTGTCTTTGTGTGTTTTGGGTTTAGTCTAAATTAAGCACTAATGCTCTGTTCCATTTCCTGCTTTCTGCACACATTTGTTTGCTACAACTTCCCACTCACTTTGAGGTTGCTGTGTTTTCGTTTTGTTTTGTCATTGCTTAAAGGTTTTAAATGAGGACGCACCTGCTGGTAGGCTGTTTTAACACACCCCTTTCACTTACTTTAACTGCTTACTGTGTTATCTTTTACTACAAATGTTGGTATAGCTGAATACCCCAACTGCTAGATTTTGCCATTCTGCCCACTAAATGGGACATTTCAAGGTTTTCTCTTGAGATGAATAAAAAGGAAAAATAGTGAGGCAACATTTTCGGGCTCTTGTGAAATGTAGTCTTTTCTTTTTTTTCCCTCTTGCTTCTTATGTGTCTTAATTACTCAATTCAAGTAAGCCAGCATGTTTTTGCAAGCATAATAGATAAAGATGTTTATTTTCTTTTGCCACTTCTGTAGAATCCTGCACTTAGCAATCATCCATGAAGAAGAGTTCATTGCTCAACAGTTAATACAGCTATTCCCAAGAGAAGTCCTGGACATCCAAAACAATTTATACCAGGTAAGTGCAACATTGGTCTTTCCAGTACACCGGCATACTGCAGCTTCTGTTGGAATTTTTCAATCCAAAGCCACTTCCCCTTCATCAGTATCTAGATTTAGGAAACGGCAGCATTATTTATATCTTGTGTACTTCCAGAGAACTGTTGTTCCTCTTTATTTGCAGTCCGTCCTCTCTCAGGGACGTCACTGTGGGTGGTTCTAGCGTTAGCTCGTGAGGGACTTTGAATGGAAACTCCCCTCCTCTACCTCCCATAGAAATAGAACCACAGGGAGCTGTGGAGTGTATCCTTGTGTGGATGTGGGTGGAGGAATTGTTCCAGTCCTTCAAAATTACTCTTGCAAGTGCAGAAACCAAAGTGAAGAGGAAACGGACAGACTGTCAAAAGGAAACCTCAGAAGTTAAGACTCAGCACTTCATGTAGTGACTCAGTTTGAGTTGCCTAATTTGCTCTCAGTAGTCATTCTAAGACCTCACATTTGGAGACATTACCAAGAAGAATTGTTCTTCACCCAGGGAATCCACCCTCAGATATCTGCACGCTGATTAACAACCAATGATGTCGCATTTGTGGGCCATTTTTGTAGTTTTGTTGTGTTGCACTGATGTGATTCAGCCTCACTGCAGATTCTGATGTTGAATTAAAAACATCAAATCCATCATAGATAAGAAGCTGAGGTAACAAACCAGAATGCAATGCAAACACAAGATTTTGTTTTAGATAGAAGGTGCCACTCTCACTTTCTCAGCTGGATCAGTGCTCTGTCGGTCTCTTTATTCTTTAACCGTGTAACAGCTGAAAGCAACAGGTACAGGCCTGTTCTCTGGAGTTTGTTCAGAGGCATTCTGGGAAATGCAGGAGAATAGTGACTGAAGTAGAAACAGCAGGGCTACAAAAACACTACTTAAATGGAGCTGCAAGAAACTTATTATTTTCCTTTTTATAGAATATTATTTTTGATTAATTACTTATAGATTGTGAAAATGTCTTTAAATGGTTTGTTTTCTCCAACAATATTTGGAATTTACAATTTTATAAATCAGATGAAAACAGCAAATCCTCACATTGAAGAAGCTTATTAATCGTATTAGTCAGTCCATGAATTGACTTCATGCACTGGTTATGATGAATAAATAGTATTGAACTTGAGACATGCAGTTATGAGTGTATCACACATCATTTTTCCTTTGGTGATCCTCAGAGCCCCTTGCATCTGGCCACCTACCTAAACCTTACAGATGTTGTGAAGGGTTTGTTGGAGAAAGGGGCGGGCCTGGAGCTGCAGGACCAGGACGGGAACACAGCGCTCCATGTGGCCTGCCAGCATGGGCAGACAGAGTGCGCCAACGAGATGACCTGTGGGTTTTCCCCTAGCAAGTTGGCGCCGGTCCTGGAGACCCAGAATTGGAGAGGTGAAGAATAAGACTAACAATTTATTGTTATTTACATTTCTATGTCTCTGCCTCATCTTTGTGATTATTTGTCAGCTTTAAAGCATGTTTATTCTTATTTGTCTGCAGTTGCAAGGGTAACACAGATGTTTCTGTGGCTGTAGATTTGTAGTTGATCTATGTCTTCATGGTCTCAGATTTAAAAACAATGCATTTTTTTAATCACTGTTGACCTCAAAATGAGCTCCATGTTCCACATTTCAAACAAAATGTGTACTTGCAGGTCTTGCCTGTCTTCACTTGGCTGCACTGAACAGGCAACATCAGATTATGAACCTCCTGACGGAAAAGGGAGCAGACTTGAATATCCAGGTTAGTCTGTGAAATGACTTATTACTGCATCATCTTGGTTATTATAGATATTATTATAAAGGGTTAATCTGTACTGAAACCTTCCACTCACAGAACAGAAAGCAAAAGCTTTTTGTCCTCCTGTAATTCTCTGTGAAACTGCCTTTAAAATAAGCTTCAAGCTGTAAACCTGCAGCCAGCTGACCCTGACTCTGACCTGTAAGATTTAAGATACACATCAAATATTATCTCTTTTGAACACGTGAATCAAGTTTAATTAATCTGAGTAGGGTTGCCCTGCAGTATCTTATAATTTGATCCAGTAATGTTCCAGTATTTATAATCACACTTATCCCTTTCAAACTGTTTACTGCGCCCGGCCTTATGTTGTGATCCTGTCTATAAATCTGCTGCACCTGTGCAATGCTGATAGTGATATGAGCTGAGCTCAGAGCTTCCTGCAGGATTCACGGAGACATAATTAGATTTGAGATATGATTAGGCCGGGCCGGCCAGCCACTCTTAACTTTCTATTGATGGAAGGGGACATGGTTGGTCCGTCCAGAAAGTACCCCAGACATTCCTCTCAGTTTAAATCACCACCCAAACATATCACTCTGCCTCACATCCGGTTTCTTCTTCTTCTTCTTGTTCTTCTACCTCTTATTATTGTTATTATTATTATTATTATTATTATTATTATTATAAGTAGTAGTACTAGAATTATTATTATTATTATTATTATTGTTGTTGTTGTTATTATTAATATTATTATTAGTAGTAGTAGTAGAATTATTATTATTATTAGTAGTAGTAGTAGTAGAATTATTTTTACCATTCTTATTATTATTTGTATTATTATTGTTATTATTAGTAGAATTTGTATAATTCTTATTTTTTTTATTGTTATTAGTATTATTATTAGTGTTCTTCTTCTTCTTCTCCTCCTTAGTATTATTGTTGTTGTTGTTGTTGTTGTTACTGTGTGATTTTTTTTCCCCAAGCTTTCAGAATGTAAAATTAAAAGTAAAATATAGATAGATAGATATCAAACTAACAGAATTATTAAAATTAGATAGTCTTACTTTATTGTATGGTGTTTGTGTAACTCTGGAATGTGTCTCATTACTATTTTCCATCTCCACCCCTCGCAGGAAGGAACGAGTGGCAAAACAGCTCTTCATCTCGCCGTTGAGCTGCACGACATCACGTCAGTGAAGCTGCTGCTCAACAGGGGAGCCAATGTGGACGCTGCCATGTTTAATGGCTGCACACCTCTGCATCTCGCCGTGGGCAGACAGGACGCAGACATTGCCAACCTCCTCTGCCAGTCTGGCGCTGACACAATGCTGCGAAACATGGAGGACGAAACGGCGCTGGATCTGGCTGACGGCAATGATGATGTAAGTTTTTGTGACTAACAGTTACAGGTACATCTACTAACAGGTACAGGGATGGACCACTATACATATTTTATAGCTTCTTATTCTGTGCCATAGAGCTCCACTGTATTATAAAACAGGAGTTCCCAAACTTTTTCATGCCTAGGCCCCCCCACAAAAGATGCACATTAGAGAACAGACCCCCAATTTGCCTTGAGGAATCTCCTCTGCGTAATTAGTTTTTAGGTCTGAAGATATAAAAAGTCTTCATTGCCAATTAATTAATTTGTTAGAAACTGCAGTACCCAGCTCTTTGAGGAAATTACTCAGCCCTTTTAGAACATGTAACTGTATATTTGTGACTTGTTTTTTTAAAGATTTATAGATCCAGTAGAAAGAGCTTGGGACTGTAAAAGATGGGACTATAACATATTGGTGGTTTTTGGTCCTAGAAAATATAGAATAACAAGTATTGTGAGTTCTACTTTCCTCTTGCACTAACACTGGATGTCAGATATTTAGCTTTTCCTATAATCTGACCGCAATGAACAATTAGTAAAAACTTGACCTTGTGTATCCTTTTCTTTCAGATTCTGGCTCTATTTCCTTTTGACGACATCCAGATTTCTGGGAGGTCGGTGGTCAGTGTGAAGTTTTGAGCTGAGTCATAGGCTGAACAACAATCTTAACATTGTCTGGAGCCTCAGTGCGGATGGAACCTTTTTTGATAAAAAAAAAAAAAAAATGTATTTGAGCTGACGTTTTGTAGTAAGTTCTGATTTGATCTGTATTTAGCCATTGTCTAGTCAAATATGCGCACGAGATAAATCTGAGTGATTCTGCTTAACTGAACACTGATAAATCTATTGGCTCAGTTACTTTGCTTCCTTTCGCATGCCTCCCTGGAGGGGTTGCAACAAAAAGCCACCTCAATGTAAGTGCCAAGCTTTCTGTCAACATTTTCAACGTCCATAAGAAATTCTACCTCTTGATGACATTAACCTAATTTTAATGGCTAAGAATGGAACATTCAGATCGCATTGTTTCATGATTTTTCAAACTTTAGCAGTGCTACCATTGCATTTGTATCATAACATGTTTATATCTCTGAAAATGTGGCCTTTCATTGTGCAGAAAGAACTCGATCCGAGGCTAAATTAATCTTCCATTTACTAACAGTGTGCTGCCAAAAAAGGCCTGCAAACTTATGAAGACAAACTAGTCACCCCCTCGCTATTTGTTAAGAAACCAGTTGCCCACATAGATATGTAATATGTAACGCACAGTGCAGCTTCACCTTTTAGATTTTCTGGGTTTGCTTCTTCATATTGTGAAACAGTTTTCTCTATTTATCTCATCTTTAATCTGCAATAAACTGTTAATGTTCTTTGAGGTGTAATAACACTGCTGATTCTAGTTAATATAAGCAGTTCATTTATTTTGTAATAAAATAAAAACAAAAAAACTCAACACATATTGTGCTCTCTTCTGGGTTTAAATTTTCAACCTTTTTGTTTACGTGTGTCAGTGGTATGAGTAATATCTGTACACTCCCAAACTCAAGATAATAAGTGTTTGTGTGCTTCATAAAAAATATTTCAGACATGCAAACAGACAGTCATGTGATGAGTATGATATGTTTAGGGTAAACTGTAATGAGCAGACTTCATGACAAAGCTCTCTCATAAAAAACCCCCTAGTTCTTTTATTTATTTCCTGTTAGTTGCTTTTGTAAGGTGCATCTTTTGTTTCCCTGTAAGTGGTTTCTTCCTGATGGCTCCTTTTAATACAATGACTGTGGAGCGTCTGGAAATTCCACTGTGCCGTATCTCCTATAAGCACGTGCCCGGAGCATGACGGGTTGAATAATAAACTGGCCAAACCTCCTCACTTCATGTTCATATTGGATATTAGCCAAACTAACTCTCAACGCTTCACTTAATCTGAGGCAATTAACAGTTTCCTCTGGACAGGTAAGCGGTGTTGTAAGGGCGTGACAGTGGCCGCTTTATATTCACAAACAGAACTTATTATGGTGTCAGCTTCTGACTGTTGACCACAGACTGTGGTCAACAGCTAGAACAGAGAGTTTTGAAACTTTGGCTACTTCCCCATTGAGCCTATAGCATGGAGCTATTTGTGTTATATATATATATATAGTGTAGGTCATGCTGGTGTTGCCATAGGCTACGTTAAGAACTGAAAGGTGTTGTGAAATCTTAGATAAGTCAGTTTCACCTATTATGAAGTACTCTCCTGCATACTATATATATATATATATATATATATATATATATATATATATATATAGTGATACACAGTTAAGACTGATGGTGGCATTAGTTGTGTCCTTTTTAAAGGAACTCTGTTGTTATTAGTAGTAAAATGTATATCAATGTTCAAAATAGAAGAGATTTAATCATTTTCTTGTTTAATAAAACTGCCATGCAGATCAAATGTTGCTTTCAGGTAAGTTTGAAATAACATAATTGGACAACAATGTCTGAATTTCCATCATTACAGAGCGAAAGTAGGTAAATGTGTCATTATATATGAAGTGCTGTAATATATTATAACTTTAACATGCTGTAGCAAAGTCGCCAGCCAAGAGCACAAGTGTAATTAACAACAATAATGATGGCTGCGTTCCAATTAATGTGTCAGCTATTAAATGAAACAGACCCATAGTTAACATTATTAACTCCACCTCACAGTGTCCTCTGTGCGGTAACAATACTCATTATGCAGAATGGCCCCTTTCATACTGTTGTATTTATTATGTGTATTATGTTATTTTATCATTAAATTAAGGCATGAGAATTCAATCCTATAGCTAGTAATGGTTGGGTAGTTTCATTTAGAGTTGGAGTAGATTTCTATCACAACTTCACCTTCTTCCAAGGTGCATGGAGAGAACTTGTGCAGGCCACGAGCCAAAGAAGTGCTGGTCTCTCAATAAAGTTGCTCTTTATCCTCCCAAGTTTTCCTGGAGCGTTGAGCTTTGCTTTACTGCTTTATCTCACTATGGCTACGTCCATACTGCCAGCCTTAACGCTCAATTCTGTTATTTTTAGATCTTTTAGACAATTATTGCTTAGATCTTTTTTTTTTTTGTTCACATTACTTTTTTAAATGTGGCCCATATCAGAGTCTGGTGTGAACAGGTCACAGTCCTGAAGTGACCCGCATGAAAAATGTCAAGTCTGTGAGAGAGTGATGTAAAAAAGTCATGTGAATTCTGATATGATTCACACTTGAGGTCACACTGCAAAAAAAAAATCTGACTTGTATCTGAAAGTGATCTGAATCAGAATTGAAAATATCAGATTGCAGCTGATTTGTCATGTAGAAAAATCAAGATCCGACTCACATATGAGCAAATAAAATCAGTTTAGGGACAGTTTAAACGTGACCTTCACATCATCATCTACCTAGTCTTTATTTATCTGATTTATTCTAACTCTTCTCACATAATTTTATGCTGTATTTCCTTTCTTGAATGTATTAAAGCATCACGCACAGCACTTTTTGTGTACCCAATATACTCTACCAATAAACACGCCCGGCCCTTGCAGTTACTCCTCCACACCGATAGGGGCAGGGCCGCCGGGAGGGCGCTGTTCTCTGCCTCCGGCATCCTCTGGTGTCGCGTAAAGCGGAGGGGTTGCCTTTCCTGCTCAAGTGAACACATCGGCCATTGAGGATAAGTTGAAGATATCAAAGCTAAAGGCGGCTAGTCCGAAGAGAAGACGGTCCCTAATTATTAAAACGCCGTTAACCTGCCGGATCCGTGCGGCTTCATGCTCTGTTACAGCGGGGACGTTTGAGTCTGTCGGCGGGTGTGTTGCGCCAGGTGTCGGGGCCAAGGAGTGTGGAGGGACAATGCCATCTTTTTCATGGAGGTAACGCTTTGAGAGGAAGCTAACTGGGAAAAAAAAAACAAACCAATATGTGATGTTAAAGACGAGTTTTAGGTTGTGTGTGTGTGTGTGTGTGTGTGTGTGTGTGTGTGTGTGTGTGTGTGTGTGTGTGTGTGTGTGTGTGTGTGTGTAAACAACTTGCTGGTTAAAGTAAAACTCTTTTATGTTTTGTGCACATGAACCAGTGTTATAGGGCTTTAAGTTACCTTTTTTTTATATTGTTAAAGAATGCTAAAGTGTTTTTATGTCTTACTTTGTGTTTTGTTAGGTGTTTACAGAAATGGCTGTTCCCTTAAGGGTGACATAACATTAACTGACCTCATTATATTCAGATATTTTAGATATGGAGTCACTTAATTTGATAGCTGTGTAAGTTTACAGCATCGTCTAGAGAGCTTTAACATCTTTAAATACTACTGAGGACGCCATATGTTGTTGTTGTTGTTGTTTATCAAAATACTGCGTGTATTAACATAATATGATGTATTTAAATCCCTATATAGGTAATAGAGTCTAATGGGTCACTAAATTTGATGCAAACCCAGTCCAGAGTCCTCCCTTTACACTGATGTGTTTCCTATATAAATATAGGTTGAATATTATATTTAATAATATGTAAATTAATTTGTCCACACCACACCCTTCCAGCACTTTATTTGAGGGATTAGGCCATCCTTATTCACTCTTTTAACTAGGGATTGCTGTGTTATTTCAGTTTAAGCCCACATAATCTGCTGTCATATACTCATACGAGACACATGCACTCGTTCTCTTCTCAGGTACATGTTGGCAGCTCTCTCTCTCTCTCTCTCTCTCTCTCTCTCTCTCTCTGTGCCTGTGGTGTAGCATCATGTGGGTTGGCTGCCCAGTCAGCGCAGTGCATTCCTCCATGTAATAAGCTGCTTGTTCAGAGCCCAGGTCTTGCTGCAGTGGGCTACTGGCTGGCCACAGCAGAGTCCCACACAAAGAGGCTCTGTGTGAGTCAGCTCACAGGCCCCCCTGGGAGGAGGCCCAGCCCCACTTTGAATGGGATACACACTCTGTGCCACGACAGCAAGGAGCACACCTTTTTCATAGGAAGCTAGGGTTTCAGGTGTGATGAGTCATCGATGTTACTTAAGGTATATGTGGATGTGGGCTACAACGCTTATCTCATTTCTTCCCAGCTAGTTGAACAGGTTGGTTTACGTGATCCAAACTATCCCCCACACCTTCTTTTCTGTAGGTAGGTTCATGTATACATGAAGATGGGTTTTACTGCTCAGCTTGTGAAAACCAAATCAAACTGTGGTGCGAAATGTCTGGATATCTTGGCCCCTGAGTCCTTTCACTCTCACCGTAATTATTCATCTCATTGCAAAATGTCTGGCTTTTCAGTTGCTTCTGCTTCAAGGCCTCAGTTTTGAAGCAAGATGACACTGCATTCCTCTGTTCAAGTGATGGGTCCCAGTCCAAAAAAACCCTTTAAATTATGATGATGTGACTAACAGAACAAGATTTGGGGGCCTGGGCATCTCTGCAGCACTACAGTACATTTGTCTTGTCACACATTTTGCCTGTATACTCGGCAGAGACACACATACCTTGCTTGTCAAACACAGTATATATTATTGTAGTCTTCAGGGTGATTTGTTGTTGTGTACTTCACAATGTGGCCTGATGTACCATTCTGTGTTACCCCGTAGGGTTTGGCCTGCACTTGTGTTGCTTCTCTTCCCTTCCACTGTGGCTGCCGAAGAGTCATCACTCCTGGAAGGCTGGCACGATGTCTGGGTCTTCCGTTTCCTCGTCAACATGCTGGGATACTCCACCATCATCATCCCTGGCTACCTCCTCATTAGCTACTTCAAGCGCACCAATTACTTAGAAACAGGTTTGGGCTCGTGTGATACTGACATCTCTTTTGTAAATGTATGCTGGTTAAAGAAGATAAAGCTGATGTTCCTGACCACCTTGATAAGAAGTTAATTCATTATTTTCTGCCTTTCTTTCAGGTAGTGGCATTTGCTTCCCTATGATAAAGACCTGTGTGTTTGGCAGTGAGGCCAAAACAGGCCTGTTGGATGACGTGTCAGTTGCACCCAGGAACGAGGGGGATTCAGGCTCGTCAGTCAGACAGGTCATCAAATTAATCTTCTGTGCTGCTGGACTTCAGGTGGGGATCCTTCCAGAAAATGCAGTCATTAAATACACAAGGCTACCTGTGGTCTAATCCCAGTAATACCGTCATGCAATGTTTTTTCTGTTTGTGCAACTTTAGGGAGGGTGTTTTTATGTTTATTTTACTCAAGTGTGATTCCACTCACCGTCTGTTCCCAGCTCATGCTATTTGCTATTTTAGAAGAGCTTCAGTGGTGTTTGTATAAAGGGAGGTGCTAGTAAGAAACCAGTAAGCATCTATGTAAATCAGTCTCTACATTAAAGGATAGACATCTCGGCCCTCAGCTCTAGCGTTTTTTTGTAGCACCACCTGCCTCACACCAGTAGCAGACACACAAAGGTAGTGACTGACTCATGAACATTGAGCAGCTAAGGAGCCAGATAGGAGAA